GGATTTGTCTGATAATGTTTATATTTATCATCACAGTTCTAAAAATATAGATATGTTTTCTTAATGTTATTGGATGCATTTTACTTGTTACAAAGGTTAGGGGAAGAAGGATGTACTTTGCTTTAAATTCTTTTGTAGGTAAACCTTTATATTTCTTAACTTTTAGAATATTTGTAAGTACTACATAAATTAAAAAAAAGAAAGGTTATAAAACATTGTTTTGTTTCAAGTGTTCGTTAGTCTATCTGCTTTTATAAATAGTAAAATATAAATAAATAACCAATACCAATCATTAGTCAATCTTCCAATGATTACAAGTATGTAGAGAGCCACTTTTGTCTAGCAAAATCATAACCAAATCCTATGATCTTAATTACTTGTGAAGGGTTTTTTTAGGATTTGAGCATTAAATTAATAGATATATTTATGCTAATGATAATAATTTTAGCCAATGATAATTTTTTGTTTAATAATAGCAGGGTTAGATTTTGGTCATCGAACGTTGACAAATTATAATTATTATAATATCATAATCTTTAAATAAACTAAAAGATTTTATCAAATGTGGATTTCGATTGAGGTGTAAAATAGAATCATATATTAGATATATGCTCAATAAGTCAAACAATAATGAGATTAATATCTGATTTGAGTCTCGCTAATTTTGATTTTGATACAAATCTTATTCTTTTTTCGATTCGATAATGGTGTATCGAGGAAGCAATTTTGTCTCTACATCTACAATATTCATTGAGATTGTAAAGTACTTCGGCTTATTGATTATAAGTCGAAAAACTAAAATTGTATCAAATATTATAATATTAGTTTTACACAACATTAATTGAAAACACCAATAAAAAGAATAGCGTGTCCGTTATAATATATTAAGAAAATATATAAATAAGAAAAATTCAACATACAAGATGTCAATAAAATGTACCCCAAAAAATTTTGTAGTCTATGACCATAATGCCCAACCTGATTGAAAAATATTGGTATGTTTTTATTAAATTTTTCGATGTAAGGGTTATTTCTGTGACCATAATGCCCAAGCTGATTGAAAAACATCTAATGTGTTGGATTTGTCTGATAATGTTTATAATTAGTATCACAGTTCTAATAATATAGGTATGTTTTCTTGATGTTATTGGATGCATTTTACTTGTTACAAAGGTTAGGGGCTGAAGGATGTATTTTGATTTAAATTCTTTTGTAGGTAAACCTTTATATTTCTTAACTTTTAGAATATTTGTAAGTTTTTCTTAGACAAAAAAAAAAGAAAGGTTATAAAACATTATTTTGTTTTGAGTGTTTGTTAGTCTATCTGCTTTTATAAATAGTAAAATACAAAGAATAACCAATGCCAATCCTTAGTCTATCTTCCAATGATTACAAGCATGTAGAGGGCCACTTTTGTGTAGTAAGAGCATAACCAAATTCTATGATTGAAGGTTTTATTTAGGATTTGAGCATCTTAATTAATAGATATATTTATGCTAATGATAATAATTTTAGCCAATGATAATTTTTAGTTTTATAATAGCAAGGTTAGATTTTGGTCATCGAATGTTGACAAATTATAATCATTATAATTCCACAATCTTTAAAAACACTAAAAGATTTTATAGATTTCGATTGAGGTATAAAATAGAATCATATGTTAGATATATGTTCAACAAGTCAAACAACAATGAGATTAATATCCAATTTGAGTCTCGATAATTTTGATTATGATACAAATCTTATTCTTTTTTTTATTAGATAATGGTGTTTCGAAGAAGCAATTTTGTCTCTATATCTACAATATTCATTGAGATGGTAAAGTACTCCGGCTTATTGATTCTATGTTGAAAAACTAAAATTGTATAAAATATTATCATATTAGTTTTATACAACATTAATTGAAAACACCAATAAAAAAAATAGAGTGTCCGTTATAATATATTAAGAAAATATATAAATAATAAAAATTTAACATACAAAATGTCAAGAAAATGTATCCCAAAAAATTTTGTAGTTGTCATTCTGTGACCAAAATGCCTAACTTGATTGAAAAACATTGGTATGTTTTTGCTAAATTTTCCGATGTAAAAATTATTTCTATGACCATAATGCCCAAGCTGATTGAAAAAATATCTAAAGTGTTGGATTTATCTGATAATATTTATATTTATCATCACAGTTCTAAAAATATAGGTATGTTCTCTTAATATTATTAGATGCATTTTACTTGTTACAAAGGTGTTGAAGGATGTAGGTAAACCTTTATATTTCTTAACTTTTAGAATATTTGTAAGTACTTTTAGACAAAAAAAAGGAAATGTTATAAAATATGGTTTTTTTTGGAGTGTTTGTTAGTCTATCTGTTTTTATTAATAGTAAAATATAAATAAATAACCAATGCCAATCCTTAGTCTATCTTCCAATGATTACTAGCATGTAAAGGGCCACTTTTGTATAGCAAGATAATAACCAAATCCTATGATCTTAATTACTTGTGAAGGTTTTATTTAGGATTTGAGCATCTTAATTAATAGATATATTTGTGCTAATGGTAATAATTATAGTCAATGATAATTTTTTGTTTAATAATAGCAAGGTTAGATTTTGGTAATCGAACATTGACAAATTATAATCATAATAATACCACAATCTTTAAAAACACTAAAAGATTTTGTCAAATGTGGATTTCGATTGAGGTGTAAAAAAGAATTATATGTTAGATATATACTCAATAAGTCAAACAACAATGAGATTAATATTCGATTTGAGTCTCGATAATTTTGATTTTGATACAAATCTTATTTTTTTTCTATTCGATATTGGTGTATCAAGGAAGCAATTTTGTCTCTACATCTATAATATTCATTGAGATGGTAAAGTACTTCGGCTTATTGATTATAAGTCGAAAAACTAAAATTGTATCAAATATTATCATATTAGTTTTACACAACATTAATTGAAAACACCAATAAAAAGAATAGCGTGTCCGTTATAATATATTAAAAAATATATAAATAATAAAAATTCAACATACAAAATGTCTAGAAAATGTACCCCAAAAAATTTTGTATTTGTCACTCTATGACCATAATGCCCAACCTGATTGAAAAACATTGGTATGTTTTTGTTAAATTTTTCGATATAATGGTTATTTCTATAACCATAATGCCCAAGCTTATTGAAAAACATCTAATGTGTTGGATTTGTCTGATAATGTTTATATTTATCATCACAGTTCTAAAAATATATGTATGTTTTCTTGATGTTATTGGAAGTATTTTACTTGTTACAAATGTTAGGAGCTGAAGGATATACTTTGCTTTAAATTCTTTTGTAAGTAAACCTTTATATTTCTTAACTTTTTAAATATTTGTAAGTACTTCTTAAACAAAAAAAAAGAAAGGTTATAAAACATGATTTTGTTTCGAGTGTTTGTTAGTCTTACTATTTTTATAAATAGTAAAATATAAAGAATAACAAATGCCAATCCTTAGTCTATCTTCCAATGATTACATGCATGTAGAGGGCCACTTTTGTGTAGCAAGATCATAACCAAATCTTATGATCTTAATTACTTGTGAAGGTTTTATTTAAGATTTGAGCATCTTAATTAATAGATATATTTGTGCTAATGGTAACAATTTTAGCCAATGATAATTTTTTGTTTAATAATAGCAAGGTTAGATTTTGGTAACCGAACGTTGATAAATTATAATCATTATAATACTACAATCTTTATAATACCACAATCATTATTATTATTATTATTATTATTATTATTATAAGAGTGAAAGAAAAAAAGCTTGAAGACATAACTATTAACTATTCTTTTTCATGAATTTTGTATAATAGACCCATGTATTCATATTAATAATAATATTATTATTATTATTTAAGAGATTTTTATTGATAATTTATTATTTATAATCTTATTTTAAGATTTTTAATATTCTAAAGACATCCCTCAACAAATAGATGTAAATGCTCTAAAAGTAGCATAGAGTGATTTTGAGTAATGTCACCGATTGTCGAATAGATAAAATAAGATATTGTGAGAAATAAGGATATGATGGATAATTATTTTTTAAGTAAACAATAATTTTTATTTATAATTATATTATATTTTCTATATTATATATTATATAATTAGTATATGATTGATAATTATATTATATATTTATTTAAGATGATAGAGTAGTGTCACCGGGATGATTGTCCAATAGATAAAATAAGATATTGTGAAAAATAAGGATATGATTGATAATTATTTTTTTAAAGTAAAATATTTTTTTATTGATAATTATATTATATTATATTTACTATATTATATATTATATATTTAGTATATGATTGATAATTATATTATATATTTATTTAACGTGATTGTCAAGAGGGTTTACCAATAGCGAAAGGGCTTCTATAATAAAATGAGTATTTTACATATGTATCCTACAACATATGTGTATTTATATGCAAGTCGTCCTTGAGATTTTATGAGAAGTCGAAAATGTGTTTGTCACGTTTCCATTAAATTTGGTGCAATAAACTCTATATAAAATTCGAGATAAGTCAAGTTTACTAGGACACTTAATATTTGGTATACTGATATAAATATCCTCTATTTATAAGGATATACATAAAATACCCATGTACTCTTTTTTCAATATTAATACACGTATAATACATGCCAAAACTATAAAACACACGTGTCTAAGCGTGAATAAATAGCAGGCATTTATTTGGCGCAACGTCACTGCGTCAAGAGGGATCGCTCCAACGTGCCGTAACGTCATTGGACAAACCTTTGCTTTATGTCGGCACCTCGTGTGACGACCGTCACGATCTACCCATCCCTATTTAAGCCAAAAGAAAGAACACATTCTACCATCACCGCCACCACCTTTTGATCGCTCATCTACATTCCCCGAATCCCTACCTCTCGAGCCCTCGATTTCTTCCTCCGATCTCCCGTCATAGCCGCCCCCAAGATGGTACTTTCTTTCCTCTGTCTCTTCGATGCTAGCTTTCTTTTTTTCCTCCTCCTATCCCGTCCCTTCTTGACTAGTGATCAAGAAATTTGCGGTGTTTCATGCATCCATGTCCGGTGATTGTATTCTGTTCTGGAATCCGTGAAATCTGTCTCCGAATCATGTAGGTTCGTCTTCAGGGGTTAGTTCTTGTGCTTGATCTCATTTCGCTAGGGTTTGCGAGTGGGTTTGATGTGATTGGTGTGTTGTTATATGTGGATTGTTGAACTTCTTCGTCGGTTTGTGTCGATCGAAGTGGTTAATCGTTGGTCCTGCTTGTTTTGACGGATGGATTACCATTCCTATTCATGGATTGGGCCATTTAACTTCATTCTGTTGATAAAAGGCGATGGATCGATTGGATTATCCAAGGTTTTTGGGAGGATCGGACTACAGCGACGCTAAGATTACTCATTTTGTCGATCTACACAAACGCGTATATACGTACGTGCACATGAATTTGTATATATTAATACTTCCCTCACTCCCCGCCACCCGCCCCAGAAAAAACACTTTAGCTCTTATTTTTTGCCATTAGTATATACGTAGGATGTTTCATTGTCTGGTTTGTTATTTGCCATATGGCCTCTAATAACTACATTTGATTATCTAGGAGAATAAGATTTGATTATAGTAACTAGATTTGACATTTATGGGAATGACTTGTTACTTTGTGATATGAAAGGCAAACGCGGCATCAGGAATGGCAGTAAATGATGACTGCAAGCTGAAGTTCCTGGAGTTGAAGGCTAAGCGAACTTATCGTTTCATAATATTTAAGATTGATGAGAAACAGAAGCAGGTCATTGTGGAAAAGCTCGGTGAACCCAATTTGACCTATGATGATTTCACTGCCACCCTTCCTACAAATGAATGCAGATATGCGATATATGATTTTGATTTCGTGAACGAAGAGAACTGCCAGAAAAGCAAGATCATTTTTATCGCTTGGTACATTAATCCATTGTATCCAGTGGACTTTATTTAATATCCCTTTGATGTATAGATAATAACTTCCTATTACTTTTCATATTCATGTGAAGGTCGCCTGACACATCAAGAGTGCGAAGCAAGATGCTTTATGCAAGCTCCAAGGACAGGTTCAAGAGAGAACTGGATGGCATCCAGGTGGAGTTACAAGCAACTGATCCATCTGAGATGGGCCTCGATGTGATAAGAGGCCGTGCCAATTGAATATGTAGCTATTCACCTCTTGTTTGTGCATTGGTGTTGTTATCCTGCAATTGTTTTGTTCTTACTGAAATTTTCATAGTTTTGAGGGATGTTTAGATCCCTAGATATTGTGTGGGCTTGTGGTTTAGGTACTAAACAGAACCTTTTTGAAGCGTCTCCATTTTGACTATGTCTTGCAATCTATTCCTGTGTGGTACCTATTGTGTGAGTGTCTACTAATATCCTGATGTCTACAAGCTAGTGGTATGTAACATCTTGTTGGATAGCTTGGTGCGCAATATTTCGAACACAATCCAACTGCTGTTTTCTTGTTTATGCAAATTGCAAATCAATAAACTTGAAGCTTTTTTGTTTTTGTTTGGCCTTTCTTTGTCTCTGTTTGTTTTTCTTTTCTTCGTCTTGATCGCTGTGCATCAGCTAGTTAATGAAATTGTGTGTGTAATTTCTACGGAGACTTCAAAATAAGTTTTTCCTAACTTAACCAAAGCTATGCTATGTGCAAATCTTTCATGTCTCTTGTAAACAATTTTCTATAATTTTGTATTCAGCATCTTTCTGGGGCTCTTTGAGTATATGAGTTGAGAAATTATAGTATTCAATCTTTGATGTTTTTAGCTTCTCTGTATTTATTTTATTCATATATGTGGATGGTTCTTCGGACAATCCTGGAGCAGTTTATCGAGTATGTATTCCATTTCCACATGGAAAATGCCAATACGGTGTTGTCTTTGCTGAGCAATTCGGTTGTCATCCTTGCAGGACATGCCTTTGTTTGTGAATATGCTAGTGCTTGTATCAGTCTCAGGTCACCTGACTCTGAAATGAGCTTCGGTAGGTCTGTATAAGATGCCAAATGGATTACTCATGCTGATGCCACACTTTCTACTTCTTCAGCTGTGTGCTAACATATTTTCATCTGAAGTACCAACTTATACATTAGTATTTTGATCTAACTTGTGGATCCTCTAAATTTTATATATTTACTGATAGTAGATAAGATTTTTCCAATTACTTTTATTCTGAGGAAAATCCTCTCTCCTAACCTGTATAAATAGGAGAGGGACATATTAATACATTTAAGCTAAAGCTTCTTCAATAAAGCTTCTTCAATATAATCTTATTCTTTCTATTTCATTTCTATCATGGTATCAGAGCTCTCATCGTGAAGGCCACTTCTCCACTTAAAGTAGTGCAGCGTTTTCCACGGACGTCCTCCAGGATCGTTGCGTCGGGCTCCTTTGAAGCTGAACAAGGGCCACCACGCTGCCCTTCCTCTGCCTCTTCCTGTAGAAGCAGAACCTACGCAGCCTCGCAACTGCTCCCCGGCCAGCGTCCTTTTCTCCTCGTTCCCGTATCTCGCTCGAGCGAGAAGTGCCGCTGTCGCCATCCTTGCCGCAGCAACCCTCGCAGCTACAGCAGCTCTCTCTATCGCAGCAGTTGTAGAAGCAGTGATCTGCTCTTCTCCCAAGCTACTGTCTTCTGCTTCTTCTTCCTCTGCTACAGCATTGCTATAGCTTTCTCTATTGCTGTAGCATTCTCCTCTACTACAGTCGTTGTCATCGTTGTCGCAGCCGTCGCCGTAGCAATAGCAACAGCAGCAGCGATCTGCTCTTGCCCTACTGACAAAGTCTCTGGCTTGTAAACTGTTTGCTTTGCATCGATCCAAGATTGGTATCGTTGATAGGAGCACCATCTTGTGGGGCCATGATAGCAGATAAGATTTCCCCAACTACATGAGGAAATCTTTCTATTTTGTTAAGAAAAATCCTCTATTCTGTTAAGGCCACTTCTCCATCTTAAAGTAGTGCAGCGTTTTCCACGGACGTTCTCTAGGATCGTTGCATTGGCCTCCTTCGAAGCTGAATAAGGGCTACCACGCTGCCCTTCCTCTGCCTCTTCCTGTAGAAGCAAAACCTACGCATCCTTGCAACTGCTCCCCGGCCAGTGACCTCTTCTCCTCGTTCTCGCATCTCGCTCGAGCGAAAAGTGTCGTTGCCGCCGTCCTTGCCGTAGCAGCCCTCTCTACCACAACAGTTGTAGAAGCAGTAATCTGCTCTTCTCCTAAGCTGCTGTCTTCTGCTTCTTCTTCCTCTGCTACAACATTGCTATAGCTTTCTCTATTGTTGTAGCTTTCTCCTCTACTGCAGTCGTCGTCGTCAACGTCGTCGTTGTAGTCGCAACAATAGCAACAGCAGCAGCAGTGATCTGCTCTTGCCCTACTGACGAAGTTTCTGGCTTGTAAACTGTTTGCTTTGTATCGATCCAAAATTGGTATCCTTGATAGGAGTACTTCGGGGGCATGAGAGCAGATAAGATTTCCCCAACTACATGAGGAAATCTTCTATTATGTTGAGAAAAATCTTCCCTCCTAATCTGTATAAATAGGGAGAGAGACATGTTAATGCATTCAAGCTAAGCTTCTTCAATAAAGTTTTTTCAATACAATCTTCTTCTTTCTATTTCATTTTTATCATTTATTTTATTTAATTCATTTACTTCTTACAAAGGTACGAAGGATGTACTTTGATTTAAATTCTTTTGTAGGAAACCTTTATATTTTCTTGACTTTTAGAATATCCGTTGGACAGAAAAAGAATGGTTATAAAACATGGTTTTGTTTTGAGTGTTTGTTAGTCTATCTGTTTTTATAAATAGTAAAATACAAAGATTAACCAATGCCAATCCTTAGTATATCTTCCAATGATTACAAACAAGCATATAGAGGGCCACTTTTGTGTAGCAAGATCATAATCAAATCCTATGATCTTAATTATTTGTGAAGGTTTTATTTAGGATTTGAACAACTTGATTAATAGATATATTTGTGTTAATGGTAATAATTTTAGTCAATGATAATTTTTTGTTTAATAATAGCAAGGTTAGATTTTGGTCATGACAAATTAGAATGTCAAACAATAATGTAGATTTCGATTTAGATGTAAAATAGAATCGTATGTTAGATATATGCTCAATAAGGCAAACGATAATGAGATTAATATCCGATTTGAGTTTGGATAATTTTGATTTTGATACAAATCTTTTTTTTTCAAGTCATAACGAAGCAATTTTGTCTCTACATCTACAATGTTCATTGTGATGGTAAAGTACTTCGGCTTATTGATTAAAAGTCGAAAAACTAAAATTGTATCAAATATTGTCATATTAGTTTTACACAACATTAATTGAAAACATCAATAAAAAGAATAGCGTGTCCTTTATAATATATTAAGAAAATATATAAATAATAAAAAATTAACATATAAAATATCAAGAAAATGTACAAAAAATGACGATAAAAAGAATAGCTCATAAAAATATCAAATTTTAGTGTGTTAGACGTGATAACCAACTACATCACGACACCTGTCTCTGCTATTGCGAAAGCAACGAATATAAAATGCTATAATAAGAATTCGAACCGGAGAATAACTCATAAAATACCAAAACATAAAAATGGCGTCGCCCGGACTCGAACCGGAGACCTTCAGTGTGTTAGACTGACGTGATAACCAACTACACCACGACACCCGTATTTTCTGAAAGCAACGGAATATAAATTTCCGTAATAATAACAGGAACCGGAAAATAGCTCATAAAATACCAAAACATCGGGATGGCGTCGCCCGGACTTGAACCGGAGACCTTCAGTGTGTTAGACTGACGTGATAACCAACTACACCACGACACCTGTCTCTGCTGTTACGATTAGCAACAAATATAAAATAATGTAATTAGAACTCGAACCGGAGAATAACTCATAAAATACGAAAACGTAGAAATGTAGTCGCCCGGATTCGAACCGGAAACCTTTAGTGCGTTGACTGAGTGACAACCAACTACAACACGACACCTGTCTCTGGTATTCTGAAAGCAACAAGATTAATATACACGGAATAAGAACGTGATCGAGAATATCCACCGCTCCTTTGTCCCATTCTTTCCTCGAAACCCTATCCCAACCTCCGTCGCCGCCGTCCCGAATTATTCCGCAACGTCGCTTCCTTTCCCGCAACCCTTCTTCGCATACCCCCTTCCAAGATTCTCCTTCCTCTTCCGCGGACGCCCCCCGTGATCGATCGAAGATGTCGAGCGCACTCGACATGTCCCTCGACGACATCATCAAGAACAACAAAAAGTCCGCTGACGGGAGCCGCGGACGGGGCCGTCGCTCGGCCGCTGGCCCCGCCCGCCGTGTTTCGAATCGATCGGCGAACCGACCCGCTCCCTACTCTGTCGGGAAGGTATGCGCTTAGGGTTCCAACAACGCCCCCGATCTTTGATGCCGACCGATCCGACCGAATCGCCGCCTCCGGTTCTTGGGTTTCTCACTCGGTATCCGATCCCAGGCTCCGGACTCAGCGTGGCAGCACGACATGTACGCGGCTCAGATGGGTGGCCTGCCTGCTCCAGCGGCTGGGGCGTCCGCTATAGAGACCGGCTCAAAGCTGTATATTTCGAACTTGGAATATGGGGTCTCGAACGAGGACATTAAGGTGATCTTTCCTTTCCTCTTTTATTCTTTTTCGCTCTAGACTGATTTTGATTGTTTGATACTTTTGATATCTTGCCTTTATCAATATTGGATCTGTTCATGATGTCGTTCTTGTTCATAATTCTTGTTCGTTACCTTGAAAGAAACTTGCACATCTGGAATGAATCGTATGCATTCTTTCTTTTCTAGCAAGTTATGGATCCATAGATTTATATCGTGGAATGAAATTTCCGGTGTTGATGAATGAATTTTCTAGCAAGTTTCATCTGGAATGAAACTTGCACATTTGGAGTTCAATTACTTATTTGTATATGATGAATGAAGATGTTTCAGAACCGAAGCTTATGATAAACATGTTTACGGGAACATTCAGAAATGGTAGGTGGAACATGTAGTAGAATAGAAAAGTAGGTTTCTCCATCTACTTGATTTCTTGAATCACTCTATGAAGTTGGAAGCAAAGAACTTGTATGTGCTTCTGCTATTTCATATTGTCTTCCTTTAAATGTAGGTTTGGTGCACACCCTGTTTGTTGAATTTTGTTAATTGTAATCTATCTAGACACTGCCATCGAAGTTTTCTGAAATGAGAAGGCTTCTTTGCACTTTAGGGTCTTTACTTCATCGTTTTTTGAAGGTTGTTTTGCAATATTTTTATCTTAGATGAAATATTTTTCGCTGCAAAGAAGGATGAAGACCCACAATGATAACCAAGTGACAATGATAAAAGTATTTGATACTTTTGATTGTCTAACAAGGGTTTCTTTTCCATGTGTTTTTGTCAGCAAAATTGTTATTTTTTAATGTATTTCTGGTCACATATTTTTGAAGATGTTTATCAAAGTATATTGTTTGGTCTAAATACTTGTTTCATGGAAAACAAACTACTGAGTGCACATATGAGCCTCAGGTCCAAATGTTCAATTGTATGAAGATTTCATATCTCTATTGTTGCCATGTGTCCACTTATCTTTTTTTTTTTTTCACTTTTGTTATGTTAATAAATTGTTTTCTTTGTGCCTTTGTTTATGATGTTATTTTCTGTTTCAGGAGCTCTTTTCAAAGGTTGGTGATCTGAAGCGTTATTCAATAAATTATGATAGAAGTGGAAGATCTAAGGTACTTCTTCAGCTTGATGTGGCTCTTTAATTTCAATGTGGTAGTCCCTTCTCATTTATGAAATAAATAACTGAAGGGAACAGCTGAAGTCGTCTTTGCTAGAAGAGTTGATGCATTAGCAGCTGTAAAGAGATACAACAATGTTCTGCTTGATGGAAAACCGATGAAGATAGAAATTATTGGGACAAATATTCCAACACCAGCTGTTGTGCCTCATTTCACTAATGGTGCCTTTAGAAGCACTAATGGCTCTTCCAAAAGGTTTGCTATGTTCTTGCTTCTGGAGATGCATCTCAGATTTATTTTGATCTTTTTGTTTGATTAAGCTTTTCAATTTACAAGATGGGAACTCTCTTTTCACCATATTCTTACATATATGATCTGTGGATTTCATTGATTGAGCCATGCAAGACACGTACATATGCAAACAACTTCCTGTTATCCATTACCAAATAATTCTGGATTAAGAAAATATCTCTTTGTGTTTGGTTATCTGTAGTTTCTCTATCTGTATTTGTTTCCTTCTTTAGAGGTCGCTTTTCTATCTGGTATATGGTCCATAAAACCAAGGCTTAAGTGTAATTCATTTTTATTTTGAATGTTTGGTATTTTTCTGATTCAACGAAGTATTGGTACCAAAATATATAGAACTAGATCAATATATTTACATTTTTTATTTCTGAATTTTGATATTCAATGATGCAATGTGGTTTAGTTCAATATACCAGTTTTTTAATAGGCACCTGGGCCCTTGGGCGAGACCCAAGCGCCTCGCACCACCTCCGGGTGACGCTATTCACTAAAGTGCAACCTAGGCGCTCGCTTGAGCCCAGGCGTCAGGCACCTCGGGCAAGCGCCCGAGTGAAAGTGGTGTAGCGCAAGAGATTGGAAGAGAAAGGGGCCCAAGCATGGAGGAGGGCATTGACCTAAAGGCGTATACAACAGAACTGATCACTGCTCAATGGCAAATGGGAGGGCAAAAGACATGATCTCGTTGGAAGACGAAGAGCTAGGGTTTTTAAGGAAAGGTAATTGGGGGATGTTAGAAGCTGATCCCTTTTGCTCTCTCTCTCTCTCTTTCATGATCTATCTTTTCTCACACCAAAGACCCAGTGCATGATGGAGGGATGTGAATATAAATGCAATAAGTAGCGCACTAAGTATTACATCACAATAAGTGCATTCTTGCTTCCAATTCCATTGCCTCAAGATTTGGGTTAAGAATCACCCTATTGAATGGGATTGAACTCAAATTACGAGTCAACTCAGGCATAGCGGTCAAAGAATCACATCAATATATGTATATATATGTATATGTATATATATATGATAACTGAATATAAATGTGCAAATACTATTGGAGCTCAACTAATGTCTGGATTTGCTTGAAAAAGAATGGCAAATATAGCATGAAAAAGAATGGCGACGGGCTGGACTCGAATCTTGAAGAAGGAATCATCTCTTCATCATGTTGCAAGTCAAATAAATCTGTTTTAACACTACAATGAAGAAGTTTATGCTGTCCACTTAGTACAAGCAGAGAATCTTATACTTCTTTCATATACTAATGCATTCCCTCATTCACTTTTTCATACTTTTTCCATGCCTTACCTCTTGATTCTGTGTTTCCTATTATGTTGGTTTAGTGGATCAATTAAATTAATACTAGTGATCTTTGTTTAAATCAGTTCCAAGTTGATCATGTTTACCAATCACCATTATATGATCTTTATATTGTTGCATATGCACCAGTTTTTCGTTTTCTAGTAAGTAGTGGAAAGGTGCATGATACTGAAGATGTGTAATGCTAGTTCTTTGCAAAGAGAGATATCTCATACATCTCGAATCCCACTATACTGGTGAGGTGTTTTTTTGACACACACATCATACAAGTGAACTGTTTAAACATAAAAATCAAGATTTTCTATGATCATTTTGATATTATCAACTATTTGCAGTGGCAGTAAAGTTAGTTCTTTAGAAAACTAACTAAGGAAGAGAAACCAAGATATTATTTTTCTATACAGAAACTTCAGTGGTTTCTGTATCAATACATACTCCTTTCATTGCTTCAGTGGTTGCACTAGACCAGGAAGGGGTTCTTCAGGATGGCCGCGTGGTGGTGGCCGTGGGAGCAGCGGGGGTCGTGAGCGAGGTAAAGGACGTGGTGGTGAACCAATATCTGCTGCAACACTTGATGTTGATTTGGACAAGTACCATGCAGAAGCAATGCAAACCAACTGAGTGCTTCTGGTTGGTTTCTTTAATCTACGATCGTTGATGCTCCTCAGTAATCGTATTATTCTGCTAACATGCATAATATAGGAAATGGAAGATGATGTCAAAATACTGAGTGGGTCTTCGGGCTTTCATTTGAACATTGTTGTTGCATTTTGATTTCATCTTGTTACTGGGGTTACAAAGTGAACTTCTGGTGTCTGGCCTTGGTGATCGTACTTGGTGAAGCTTCTTTTATCTCTACTTTGGTATGTGAGTTTCTTAGCTCAACCAAAGATTATGTTATCATGCATGGTGTTGCACTGGGCTCTTTGGGAACCATCAGTTAAGATAAGCGCACTGCTTTGCTCTTCTAAAGACTTCATATCTAGTAACGATCAGTTTTGACATAACTGTAGGTTGTTGTGAAAGTGCTGAGGCCTTGGTGAATCCTCAATCCCGTAGTCAGTGGTTTGAAATTTGCGACACGAGGCAACCAACGTTAGTCCCGTAGTCAGTGGTTTGAAATTTGCGACACGGCATAACTGAAGCGAAATTGATGAAGAAAATGTGGAATGAGGGCAGAGAAAACACATACTAAACGACTACTACTATCCCACTATTACGCATATAGACCATCAAAAGCAGCAGGGAAAATCAAACGCGCTTTTTAAATGAATACCGCCTCTAGTAGGGATGAACACGAAATCAGAAACAGGGATGACAATTAGACGTCGATTGCACTGTACAGCATCACACAGCGTTAGCCACACACAACCTGGTGGAAGGAAATCAAAGTTTCAGAGAGGTGGCCCACCACCTTTTGCCGTCGTCACCAACCCATCAGCGTTCGCCTCACTCCATCCACAATCTCACCTCTAGCCTGGCTGCCTCCCAGTGGCAGCTCCCTGCTGTCATCCAACAGAAATCTGTAAACCTCCCACTGTCTTTCAAAAGCCGTGTGCCTGCCGATTTCAGCCTGCACACAACATACATAGAATGGCTAAGACATTGACATAAATCTTTGGACGACAACCAGGGAACTTCCAGTTTGCTTACAGAGAAAATGCAGATTCCAAGCACTTTCAGAGCCAGTGTCACATCATAGAAGACCCGAGGCCTCCCCTTTCCGCACAGCTCAACCGGATTAGCAACAAATAGTTCCATGTCTGGTCCACGATTTACAATTATCACTCTTAAAGGATGAAGCATTTCCAGTTTCAAACGGGAACACAGCACACCCTGCTTGTCAGGATCCACGATTTTCTTCCCGTCACTTTGCAGGATGAAAAGGTCTACCTCTCGTGAGCCTTTCATGTCTGACAGAAATCGCCCATACGCCACCTACATGACAAGCAACCCACTGTTATCCTAATTGTACATGTAGTTAATTTGAGCAAGTTTGACTGACACATCTTTAACAAAGCCAGTTGAGAGATTGCAGAGCATGCTTCTGACCGCCATTTGAGTGTCTTAATTGAAAAACAAAAAAACAAAAAAGAACATTCAATCAACTTCTTTAAATCTTATTAACATGTACATTTATGAACAATACAGAACAAGATATCTTCTTAAAATCTTCCTTAGATGTTCGGGACACATAAGCTATTCATGCCACCAGAGGTACCCTCAAACTATTTTAGACCGGTGTACCAGATAGGATCAGAAGTCGTCCAGTCATCAATATGATTGTGTTTATATCTAAATCACTAAAAAATCATTAGTTTATTATCCTTCTTTTTTCATGTCAAGCGATTTGGCAAGGTTTATAACATACCTGATAATCAAGAGCATATTACTATGGAACCATCAAGGTCAGATTAAAGCAATTGGGTATAAGATAGAACATGGAATACCTGAATACTGCAGTCCTTTAAGGTCCTCATAATGTCATAGAGTAGGCCCTTCTGATCAACACAATGGATTTGAAGTAATGTGTGGGAAGGGCTCAATGAATTGTCAATGTTTACATCCGCCTTCTTCAGCCTTTTCATCTCTGGGCTAAGTATCGCTGAACATACTTCATTGCCTGACAGCTCCAGCTTAAATAACTCTTCTGCAACTACTGGTGGAAGAGAAGAAAATCCCTGCTGAAAACCTTCAGCAAGCTCAATCTCACAGCTATTTACAGACTCGCCTAGAACTGCATTTAACCTTTCACACAGATCGTCCTGTCTCATTTTTGTGTGCAATAACTCCCTAAACACATGTACGGAAGTCATAAGAAAGTGACAAAATGTTAACAGATGCTAGCTTAGAAATATTAAAGAAAGTGCAAGAAAATGATTCACATGCCAGGAAATTCAAAAATTCTCTAAATGATCCATCTTAGCCAATAAGAGTGAATAAGCAGACTAAAAGGATTAAAATGAAACATTTGACGGGTCATCATCCATAGGCAGCAAGATTGGTATTCCCTGCGGCCAGTGAAATGGAGCCATCGAATCGGCTATTACACAGATACACAGAAACAGACAAGGCAAAATTACTAACTCAGCAGACCTACACCAGAAGAATGCTATTATATATTTTCTTTTGAATAAGAAACAGGAATAAAAGTGATCTGTTCAAAAGTGGTAATACTACATCAGAACTAGTCTGAAAAGAGTTTAATGGACAAAGACAAGAGTTAAGGTCAACCAGTATATGGTATAAATATGCTGCTATCAGTTCTTAATCTCTTGTGTAAAAGTGCCTTGGAGATTAGGAGAAGGCATCAACTAAACAGTCGCTGTTAGACCAACATGCAATCAATAAGCTATTCTGATAGAGGCATACTCACATGGCATCTGTAATAAAGAAAAAGTCCACAACTCTACCGTTTGGAGTTGTCGAGACTTTCACTCGATGAATCGTAAGCTCAAGCTCACATAGTACCTTCGTGACATCTGCATCAAACGGCACATGTATCAGAAATAAGTCAATCCCCAACCTAACAAACAGACAGACAGGTTACAATTGGTTACCATGCAACAATCCCTTGCGGTCGACGGAGAACAGCTTCAGAAGGTAAATTTGCGAGCTCGTAGGCCTATTCACCATGTCAAAGTAGAACGGAATGGAACAAGATGGACAGAGAGACAATAGCCTGTTCTTCAAGCTTGGCCATTGGATATTACTGGAGGTGGGACGTGGTACGACCCAGAACACTAAGTAGCACCACTGCCCATCAGTCGATATGTCTTTAAAGAACACAACAGAGTAACATCACAGATTAGACAAGCATATGGACAAATAAACAGGGCAAATTGTAGAGAAAAAGACAACCAAGAAGTCAAATCATCAACCATAAATAAAATTAGTTCTTCCTGCACTAAACGCAACGTTAGGAATGTCAATTATGCTGTCAATTGTATGTCTCATTCAATAGGAGAAAATAGTAGAATGTTCAGTGAACATTTTCGAGAAAAACGTATCAAGAAAAAGAAACAAACGAGATAACAGATCGTCTCAAATGTATAACCCTAAAACAGACAAACCCTAAACCCCAATCAAGAGAATAATGCTAATTTGGTAAGCGAAACAACTATGGCGGTCGAAAATAAACGAAAATCGATAAAATAAATCAAGAAAAAATAGCAAGAAAGATCAAGGAAACCTCCATTTCCCATAAGTGACGGTCTCAAATTTATAACCCTAAAACAGAGTAATAGACAAACCCTAAACCCCAATCAAGAGAATAACGCTAATTTGGTAATCGAAACTACTATGGCGGTGGGAAAGAAAGGAAAATCGATAAAAGAAATCAAGAAAAATAACAAGAAAGATCAAGAAAACCCCCATTTCCCATAAGAGATGGTCTCAAATTTATAACCCCAAAACAGAGTAATAGACAAAGCCTAAACCCTGATCATCTATATGCACCATCAACTCGTGAACGAAACCACTACGGCGGTGGGAAAGAAAGACGAATCGATAAAAAGAATCAAGAAAAGATCAAGAAAGATAAATTTAGGAAAAACTGCGATGGAATTAGAAGAAACCAACTCATCAAGAATCCGATTGAAACGGGAAGAGGAGACACGAGAAAGTTATCACGTAAGGTAAGAAGCGGCGACTGTCAAGATGGCGCTCACGGACGGACCTCCTCGGGTGATGCAGAGGCCGAAGTCGAGGATGGCGCGGCAGAGGTCGCATCCAAGGCCGGTCTGGTCAGGGCAGTTGACGGTGATGATGGTGGGTTCCCCGGCCCGCTTTGCCGCCTGGATGACCACAGCATCCTCGCTCGCCGCCACCATCACTCCTCCGGCGCCCCCCGACCCCGATTCGTAGGCCGTCGTCAGCCCCCCGACCGCATCGAGGACCGCTCTACCAGTCGAACGGTATATCCCGTCCAGATTCTTCTCTCTCGCCCCCTATCCTCTTCCCCCACGCCCACCCGCCCGCCAGCCTAACCCTCCTTTCTCTCCCTCTCTCTCATCCGATGCGGTGCGTTATATGGAAAGGTTGGCCGCCGCCACCGATTCGAGCCACGTCATTATGGATAGCGGCTGTATTGTCCCCACGTGACGCCACCTTAAACGTCGGTAACGCCGCCTAAGCAAGCCTGCGAATGACGTGGACCCGTCTCTTCATCAAGATTATGTTATTCCCATTATAGCTGCATTGCATTTGGCAACTTAATCGTGTGGATCAGATTCACCATCTGCCCAGCACGATTTTTAAAGGTCTCAGCGCATACATATCTCGATCCGCATACCATCTTATCTACATGACTTGTTGGAGAGGCAACCCCAGGCCACCAACATTGCTTGGATCTGCTGTTTGTGTCTCCAACCCAATCACCGATTCTTTCGGTTGACGCGGTCAATCCAATCAACGAGCCGCCTCATTTGACAGCTTGGTCCTTTTATCGATCAAGAAATCCTTAGGTGGAGCCAATGCGTGCTTTCGTTTCCACGGAAAAGGAGAATATGAAAGCACCTGGGGATCGACAAAGTGACAATGGGATGTAATGCACTGGAAATTGGTGGGACTCGATTTAAAGCTGAAAGGAAATACGAAGGTCTCATTTCTGCAAGATCATATGGGGACTCGAACATTCTGTGTATATCCTGATCGGCGGAGAGGACCACCGGGGATCGAGTGCGTGGCAGACAACGTCCGGTAGCGAAAGTGGGGTCAGCGGCCATGGAATTTGACCGTGGTCCACAGGCAGCGGTGGACCGCAGTCCATGTACCGAATCGGGACCGGGCAATGAGTGGTCGATTCCAACTTGCTGCTCTCAAAGACGGTCTGCTTGCAAATTACGACAAAGTTGGTACCTCATGAAGTCTTACCGAATCCAGTTTTTGAAGGAAATGTACTTGTAATCATCACCGCCAAAGGGATTTTATGCTTTGAGATTGTCATGATGATTAAGGGAACGTTTTTGAGTTGGTGGTGGGGCGACAGAAATGTTTTTGTTCTGGTTTACCAACTTGACGAGGGCCGCCCACCGCGGCCACTTCCAATGGATTGCAAGTTGCAGATGGATGCCATGCGAGCTTGATCCATCCGCAGGGTTGGGCATTATTACTTGTATGTGGTAGAAGACTGCTGGCATCTACTGCAAGGGCCGCCTTGAGTCATTTCTGGCCATCTGTTATTTGCTTTTGTACACATACATAATGTGAAGCCGTTGGTTGCCACTTCAAATACATTTCTTGATAGCAAATATATGACATGACCAAAAGTTGATTGGCATAAATAAATCTTATCACCTGTGAGACACCTAAAGCCCGGCTGGGCTTCCATCTTTCCTTGGATCACTGATGGCGATTAGCTTACCGTGGAAGATGTTGTTACCATTCTTCACCTTCCTGTTGTCTTTCCTGTGGGTGCTCAGAATTGGCACTTGAAGGTTATGCACAACAAGCTGGGAGACGGCAGCAGCTGATGATAAGCTACTGACGATATGGCCTCTCTGCTCCAAAAACAGCTTCGCCTCCTCTCCGAACTCGATCTTCTCCCCATCAATCGCTGTGAAGTTCTCGTAAAGAACCTTGTTTGGAATGAGCTGCATGAATAGAGATCATTAACTCCAGTTGGCTGATAACAATAACGTGAAGTGTATGAATCTAGTACTCTAACCATTCCAGATCTTTTCTTTTCGTAATACATCATGAAATGGTTCCGCTTAGATGTTTTTTTCTTTGTCAGCTATTAGTGAACTGTCACGGGCTTAGCTAAAATTACCTAAATCATAAAGCACTATTGTGATAAAGTCATGAATTTAACTGAAGTTATCTAAGTCATAAAGCACCCTTGCGCCAACTTCTCAGACATAGTTGGGATTGTCTAAGTCATGAAACGCCCTTGTGTTACCCGTCCGTAAAGGATCAGCCTAGTTGCAACCTCGCTCGGGTCTAATAGGACTTGTAAAAAGAGCAAATCGATTAATTCAAAAGTGAGCCGCAGACAAGTCCCGATGTCTCACAAAGATGACAGCTTTATAAACAATTCAGCAAATACTTGGTGTGCAAAGAGAAAAGAGATGAAGGAGAAAACAAAGACTTTATAATGTAAAATGAATAGTCGCAAGTCCACAAACAAGTGCTCACCGGTGTGCAAAGAGAAAAGAGAGAAAGGAGAAAATTAGGACTTTAGAATACAAAACGGATAATCGCAAGTCCACAAATGAATGCTCACCAGGTTCAGGTGTGATAGCATGTTCCCGTCAACTGTCTAGAACTACACACACAAGACAAGTCCTGCAAGGGACTGGGTCATACAGAGGTATGAACAGGAGCTACTGAGAGTAGAATGTCTGTTTCATTTCTTAACAGAATGTCAATCGAAACCGGAAGTGATGCGAACCTACCTAGAAGTGATAACTAAGTGAAAGAAGAATTAATGAGCAAATTTTGCAGAGGAAAGACCCCCAAAATTTTAAAGTCTGTAAGGCGATGCGTGTTAAAGTTTCAACGAGCATCCATCTAGTTCAAGCGACATGATACGTTTAAGAGACTAGCGTATAAAAAGGAAGGTTTTTTTCCTTTATTTGAAGGATACATAGGAATCAACAAAGATCAGCGTAACTCAACCAATCCCACACCAGAGTGTCATTGGTGAGTTGAAGCAGCATGATATATCAAAGTTCAACTACTCAACAACAGCGGTAAAAAGCAACTGAGACCCAAGAGGCATGTTGCAGCTAGAGTGAAAGATTGAAGACTCATCAAAGGCGAGGAGATACAGTATCTGCAAAGACTTCGACGAGGACGTCGAAGGAATAAGTGGGGGAGAATGTCACGGACAAAGTTGTAAGTGGGGTGTTTGATGTAATGCTCATGTATGCTTGTGTCTTTCGGTTTTGTTCATACTTTGCACAATATGTAGAAGGCTAGTTGTAGGCTTGGCAACCTCATTTTGGTTGGCTTTAGTTGTCGTTTTAGGCTTGTAAACAAAGGTTATGTCATGTGGGTACTCGTGAGGATTTCGGTCTGTAATGGACCATCTTGAACTCTTTGTTGTGCAACTGTTCAAAGCTTACAAAGTCTATATTTATAATTTGCATTGGCTATAAAGTGTTTGTTGAAATGATTGCTTGGGGATCTCGAAAGAAGCATGTTCTCTACCCCGTTGTCTCTTTTGTAGGTCTTAAGGGATCATAAGAGGTTTCGGGAAGACTGACCCTTAGCAAATGGACGTACAATGGTACCGTATGACTTAGGCAAAACCAATTAAGTTAATGATAAAACGGTATGCAAAAGTTCCTTATGGAGGCTTGTCAAGATAATTGTTCTGAGCAAATAATGGAATAACAATAACGACAAAATAGTAAGTCTCAACTAAGAAATCCACACAAAAATATGACAATGAAGAATAACCTTGTGGAAGACCCTTGGATGCCGAACAGCTGCTAGCGGTTCCATTCCTAGGACAAAGTGATTTAGGAAAACCTGGACAACTGCTGGAATTATATTAAGTCCACCACTGGCTCCCACCACTCCTGCAAGCTGATTGTCCTGAACATAAAAACAGCATTACTTGGTCTTAATAAGTTGTTAAGAATAATTGCAGTTGGTATATTAACAATTTATTTAATAAGAAGAATATCCAATCATTCATCAAGATAATTATGCAATAAAAAACAACCATATTGTTCTATAAGGGCCACATACCAGGATTAGAAGGATCTCATCTTATATTAAAGCATTCACAGTTATAGAGAGGACCCGTATGAATTGCTAGATTTTAAGTCTTCCTCAGTATGATCAGTAGGAATCATCAAGGAATGGATGCAAACCATATTTGATAACCAGATACCCAAGTTAAGTTTCAAATGTGTGTATGAACAAAATCCATGTCAGACTGCTTTGAAATTTAACAGTGCAGAATCTTTGCTCATATAGATGATTCTGGTAATATAGTACCTTTAGGACAATAATAGGTGCCATGGAAGAAAGTGGTCTCTTATTTGGCTCAATAAAGTTTGCTGGTGCTGGTGGAAGATGATCTGGAGTTGCTTCTGTTGGTGTAGAAAAGTCATCCATCTCATTGTTCAGCAAAATACCTGTTGATGATGACAGCACCCGAGCTCCAAAATATGAATTAACTGTCGTTGTCAAAGACACTGCATTTCGATCAGTATCCACAATGCACAAGTGGCTTGTTCCATGGTCTCTTAACTGACTCCACCTGAGAACATGTACTATAACTTAGCCAAAGTAATTCTAGCATTTGAATTATAGACAGTAAAGTTGCTAATGTAACCATGTTTATATGTAAACTAAATGGCATCATGTGATTTGCACTTATATTCCAAGGGGAAGAAATGAGGTTACTCTGTGGTATGTTGCAACTTGCAATAACATGTTTAAGACCTGAAAGGAAAATTATTTGAGACTCCCAAATAATTTACTGAGAGACACTGCCCAAATTCACTAGTTATGTAGATTCTGTCTAAGAATATTTTTTTATCTGAATAAAATTACCATTCTAGCCACCTCTGGCTCTTCCCTAAATTTTGTGGGATTCTCCCCTAGCACATTAATAAAACAGTAACAGTTGAAAATAAGATAGACAAGAATCACCTTGCCATATAGTAGGATGGCTCAAATGTGGTATTGTCAACAATCTTCTGCTGAATTTTCTTAGCAAAGAAGGGAGAAAGCATGTCAGTAACATATTGATTGATTTTAACAAAATCAGGATCCCCAAGATTCATCCGCAAGGCAAACATGTGCTTGAATGCTTCAATGAGCCGATGGAGACCAAGCAAACCTTTCACAGCATCCAAGGACTCATAGCTTCCTAAAATGTTCAGAACCTAATTAATACCATAAAATAATTTTAGTTAAAACACAAAAAATTTTGAATCAGAAAATTTTATCCATAACACAAGTTTTTTGAAGCAACAGACACTACTCATATGCATTGGTGAAACAAATAGTGGATTGTTTTGAAAAGAAATCTATCAAAATTTCACGTGCATCAGAATTACAGCAGCAACTGAAATACTTATGGGGAACCAGAAAGTAACATTATTATCAAGATTACAGCAAACAAATGAAATATCTAAGGGGAAATAGATACAGAAAGATGTTGTCGTTTCAACTACATCAGACATAGTCGTAATATCTGAACCACACCAAATAAACAAATAAGCAATAACTCACCAGAGACATTCCCAATGTTCCACTGGAAGGTGGGGGCATACCGAGTATTGTATACCCCATAGCATTGGCTACCATCGCTTCTGAGACCTTTACGGCATATCTACTCAAATCCTCCGTCGTTGCAATCCCACCAGCATTTTTCACATCCTCAATGAATTTTTCACCAATGCTTCCATTGTAGAATGCCTTTGGACCCTCAGTTGATATCACTTCTAATGTGTAGGCAAGTGCAGGATTGTAGCAAGTGTCATTTGTCTGCAGTATTTTCCCGTTTGGTGCCAGCAATTCTTGCAACCCATGATCTGCTAGTATATCATCCTCCTTTTTCTTAATAGCATCTGCTAGAAAAGGTACAACAAGGAATCCATCTTTTGCAAGGCTTATGGATGGTTGAAAGAGAGCTTTCCATGGGAGCCTTCCGTACTTCAACCAAGCTTTGTGGAGGCCAGCAAGCTCTCCTGGAATCCCCATTGAGAGTGCACCCTTGGTCTTGGATGATGGACTATTGTCATACATATTCTGTTAAAATTTCAAAGATAGATAGATAATCAAAATTTCGTATGAAGCACTAAACTCAAAGAAACTAGCATTTTAAGATAGTGTCCATTGACTTCCACGATGATCAACAATGATGCTATCTGTTTTACACAAGGTTGCTGGCTTCAGAGATTTAGAAGTAAATCTTGAACAACATATAAATTCAATTGCAAACTGCAAGTTTCATAAGAGTCTAACATAATATTTCTAGATTTCTTATTGTATAGCAAACAGAGAAGTTCAGCTTTCCTTTTCCACTACAAAGAAGGGCTAGTGCAGTCATCAGTACTTTGCATTCATTAGATCTTGGCATCCCAAGAATGATTGGAAATGGTACCTAGTGTGACCACATTCGATTATCCTGTATCACAGGATTTAGATGAATGTTGCAAGAGAAAATACATGCATGAGGATATAGTATCCATTAAAGAAAACATACGCTGCATTACGTCAGCTAATGGTATGCAGGGAAATGCAAGCTACCAAACACACCCAAGTATCACATGGGAAAAATTATGGACTGATAAAGGGGTATATATATACATACATATATGGGAGTATCTAAGACTTGATAGCTTAAACTTATAGGCCAAGTGGTGGCTCCCATAAGTACATGTACCCTGCTACCAGGCCATTCGAGACCTAATTCCCTTCTCATCAAGTGCTCAAGAGCCTGTGCCTCAGCATGGGCAATCAGAGTTGGCGGATGAGCAATGAACGCAACAATAAGTGGGCGTCACAAACTAAGAGACGAGACTCATGCTGAGAACTAATGCAACCAGTTGAGCGGCACGTTTGATAAGCAGATGCATAAGGAATCTGAAAACTGGTATGTGGCACATCAATTGCCGATGGTATGGACCGCATGTATTTTTGAGTGGTACACAAGAAAGCACGATGAGCTTGGGCAGCAACCCATGCCATCGAGAGGTAGGACCTTGCACAGGGGAGATGCCGTAAGGGAATGGGCCTCCAGTTTGAGGGGAAGAATTGCGTTGGCCAATAGAAGAGGTCTACATACTGTCCCCCAAACCTTCTACAGACCACCATAAGCTATGATGTTAGTCTACTAATACGTAGAAATTGATCCCGCAAAGAAGGAAAAAGGGATCGGAAAGCCTGGCTCATCCTAGTGAGCGAACACGACCCCACAATATCAATCCACTGGATGCATGCCACGCCTGTTGACGAGACGCGTGGCACGACACGGAGACAGGTGAGCGGTAAAATGAGCCGCATCGGACCCCCTACAATCCAGTAGCAGCAACTAATCGCGCATCGTGCGCGTCAGATACCTCTCACTTGGTCACCATCATCGACGTCGCCGTCATCGTCACCGTCGGGATAATAATACGAGTCCACAGAGGGCAAATTGGGGATTCAAAAGGAGAGTCAGTAAGAAGAGGAAGACGGGTGGGAGAACCTTCGATGCCGCCGAAGGGGCCGTCTCGCGAGAATCGAAGGCCTCGGCCTCGCCGGAATCCGCCGATCGGACGACGATGAAGGCGCCGCCACCTATCCCGCTCGACACCGGATGCACCACCCCGAGACACAGCGCCGCCGCCACGGCCGCATCCACCGCGTGGCCTCCCGCCCGCAGCGCCGCCACCCCGATCTCCGAGCACCGCCCGTCGTCCGCTGCCACCACTCCCACCTCCGACTCCACCACCTCCGGCCCCCCGGTGCTCCCCCACCGCTGCCGCTTCACCTCCAGCCTCACCTCCCGATCTCCGCCGAGGGACCGGATGAGCACAAAGAAGAGAAGCCCCCAGGCTGCGAAGAACAATACGAACTCGCTTAAACGAACCCAAGCCAAAAGGCCAATGAATAAACGAGGACCGGCGACGAAGCGGATACCGACGATGGCCGCGGCGGACGACCACCAGATGCGCCGCCTGGTGGCGGCGTCGGGGGCGGGCGCACGATGACGGAGGAGCGAGGATCGGATGCCATCGAGCGTCGCCATGGGGGCGCGTCGATGGGCGGAGAAAGCGAGAGGTCAAGAATCGACCGAGCTCCCTCGGCGATGTGATGATATACGCCACCAGCCCAGTGCTGGAGTCGAAATTACGGATGAGCCACACAAGGGTCGGAAGGTATATATCGACGTCGAGGGAGGTTAGTGGGGGCCAGCGAGGCGCTTGATTCGAATTCCGCACGCAACGATGACATGGACCAGACGAGCCGATGTACGGACCAGCGACGCGCTTTATTCGAATTCCGCACGCGGACGATGACGTGGATCAGACGAGCCGATGATGGCTTCCTTGCTTTCATCACAGCCATGAAATATTGCATATGACTATACGCTAAACAGGTACAAAGTCGTCTCATGCTTCGTTTTGGTCGATTCAAATCCCAATTTGGTCCTAATTCGTTCATGGAAGCCCCGTGAATTAGTAGATTTTTCATCTCTTTGTTGCGTGAGGAAGTATATATGGCCATCGAATTATCAAAGCATTGACAATGTTGCAATTAATTGTTACATAATTGTTAGTTTATTGGGTGCCTACGTGACTGATTCAGCCCTTTATGATGTTGACATTCTTGCTCTGGTACATTTTTCTGAGCTACTCGCTAATTTACCTTTTCTCGTAATGGATAGCAGAAGTGGTCCCAATAGCAAAGGTTCTCCAGAGGGGTGTTGCTTTTAGTGTTGAAATGATTAGATCAGTGGGCTCCCCATCCGGATTGAGTCGAACAGGAGTTCGCGAAACACTTGTGAACTGAACTGAGCCAAGTCAAAGCCCTGGATTCACTCATGCGAACATTTTAGGCCGGATTGGATCTAGTTTCTACCCCTCAGTCGGCGGCGACTGGGCGAGCAAGAAGGCCTCGTCGACACCACCACCATCATCGCCTCGACCTCTGACGAAGGTGAGGTGAAGTGAGTGTCTCGTTCTCTTCCTCTCTTCTTTTTCTTCGCTATCCTCATTTAACTTGTTCCCCCATTTCGATACTTTTACGCCTGTTGTGGGAAACAATCTGGAGCTGTGGCGTCGGGCCCGACGCGGCTTGGTTCGGGTTCGGACGACGGGGATCTCGTGGTCGCGCTGAGGTGGTCCGATCACGGGGTGGCCGCTTCCTCCGGGCAAGAGCTCCTCGCCCGCGCGTTCCGCGGGGACCTTCGGCTTCGCACATGCACAAAGGTCAGGTCTGAAAGCTCGACCCGACCCCTCTGACGATCGAGTCAGTTGACGTGAAGGGGATTTCATATGAAGAAGTCTTTTTGTGTGTCCTTCTCCCTCTTCCCGTTCAGAATGCGAGGGTATTTATAAATAAGCTTATTGTTTCTTGATGTGCCCGCTTTTAGGGTCAGGGTGGTAACGTCTGACACTGGTGTTGGCGTGACGTGAAGAACCGAGCCTGAGCAGACGTTAATACGCCTCGACCGACGTTCTGATCTGTTTGATCAGGTGCTGTCGTGTCGATCGAGGCGTGAGACGTCATCGGACGTCAGTCGAGTCTTATCATAATTACTATCCTCATCAATGTCAAACCCTAAAGACCTCAACCTTTCTCATCCACCTGTAGTTCAACACTCGCCTCTCAACAGCCTGTTTCTTGTGCCTGCTACCACTATTCCTTTCGGATCCTTGCCCGCCTGTCCAACCTCTCTCTCTCTCTCTCTCTAACTCTTTTTACATTGTTATCGTTTGGAGAAGGTTGGAACAACAATAATAATACTCTGGTGCTTTTGTAGATCAATGTTATTTCTGTCACCAATAGTTTATACCTTAGATAAAGATGAGAGGTTTGAAGTAGAAAAGCATCATATTATGCTCTTATGTAGATAAAAATTATGGTTCTGGGTTAAAACTTTAGATTAGATTGCCAAACAGGGGAACTACTTTTTGCCTTTTAGTTATCTAATTCCAAAGTTTATATGCGACTGTGATCTACTGCTTCTGCTGAAGAGAAAAAGATTAGTGTTGGATTTTTCAGTAACTTATTCTGGATATAGAAAGGATATTGCATAGAGGAAACATATTACAAGTATTCTGCAAGAATTGGCACAGCAACAATGCTTGCTTCTTATGAGTTAGATTAAGAGTAATATAAAGGAAATCTTTCTAGGAGTTAACAGTTGAATGTCTTTCTTGTTGTTGTCATGATTTTATTGAATGCCATTGGAGGTGTCTAATGTGCTTGCATTGAATGGTCCAAAGGGTAAAGGTTGCAGAACTTGATTCAACTTTTATATGATTACATTTTGGACGGGGAAATATTCTTGGCAAAATCAACTTGCTAAGATTTCTTTGCAAATGGGTTTACCTTTTGTCTCTGTTCGAGTACATTAATGTCAATTTTGCCTCCTGAAATTAATGAATAGGTGCAGGAGAAAAACCTACAGTGAGCACATTACACTTTTGAATCAATTCAGGTTCATAATGTTCAGATGTTAATTCTTAGTGAAGGCTCATAGATCAAGATGAAGCTGTGGGTGGTATGTTGGAAACTATACGATTGTGTTCACTATGATCTGAAGGAAATTGCTTTCGCTTCTTCGCTGCCTGATCCATCACATATCAAGTAGACTCTATGCTGCTAGTTGGGTGCAGGATATTGGTCCTGTTCTTAGACCGGTTATAAAAGAAACATGAAGTTTGATGGTGAGATTCATCATCAAGATTATACTACAATAGAAGCTTCAAGGAAGATCTTGCTGTGGCAGCTAGAGGTGGAATGGAGACATTAAGACCTGCAGTGCAGCGTGTATATATGATGTGTGCCTCAGAATTCAGAGATACACTTAAAAGCTTTATGCTAGGGTATCAAGAAGGGATAAAACAAATCATGGAGGGCAAAGAAGGTGATAAGTCTCTGTCAAGAGGACAATCCAAAGAAATCTGTATCATATCTTTTTTACAAAGGAAAATTTTCAGCTGTTCTAGAACTCATGGGATTCACTAGTTGGGTACCTAGTCAGAAATTTTCTAATACATATATAGACTAATTGATTGTTTCTTTTTTTTCTTGATTGTGAAGAATTTGTCCGCATCTTTATTTGATTTTTTTTTCTTCCTACGATAGAACAATTTATGACTAATTGTTCGAGCTTCTGCTCTGGATTTTTATATTGATCCATGTATGTGTTTGATTTCCTTTTGTATTTGGTAACTTTGTGTTGTGGGTGGATTTGCTATGCTTGCATCTGATAATATTTATTGCTGCAGTTCGCATTTCTCACCCGAAATCATGGGATTTTAATTTGTTGATGAACTCAAAAGGAAATGATGCAATATCTGAGGCCAGGCAGGGTCGAAGGTTTGTGTGGTGCTAAGCAATGACTCTAGGTGTGATGCTCCTTAATACCAATACTCTTTGATCTCTGAAGACGATGGTGAAGAGCGAAGGTCCAGCGATCGGTATCGACCTCGGCACCACCTATTCGTGCGTCGGGGTATGGCAGCACGACCGGGTGGAGATCATAGCCAACGACCAGGGCAATCGGACCACCCCCTCCTACGTCACCTTCACCGACACCGAGCGCCTCATTGGCGACGCTGCCAAAAATAAGGTCGCCATGAACCCCACCAACACCGTCTTCGGTGAGTTCTTTTGTCTCTCGATTCGCCTTCTGTACATCATTTGTTTTCGTTGATGCAGCACGTCGATTTGCTTATAAGCCTTAAGCTTGATTGCAAGATCTTCATCTGTTGCTTTGGTTTCCTGCCTGGAGGCAGTGAGAACAGAGCAGAACAACATGAAGCATCTCTTCTTCTGTCGCTTTCTATTCTTGAAAGATTGTAAGACGAATTAGGTGTTAAAGATTTGTTCTTTCTGCTAAATATGTGTTGTAGATGCGAAGCGGTTGATCGGTAGGCGTTTCAGTGACCCCTCCGTGCAGAGCGACATGAAACTATGGCCGTTCAAGGTGGTCGCCGGACCCGGCGACAAGCCCATGATTGTGGTGCAGTACAAGGGCGAGGAGAAGCAGTTCGCCCCTGAGGAGATCTCTTCAATGGTCCTCACCAAGATGAAGGAGATCGCCAAGGCGTACCTCGGCACCCCCGTCAAGAACGCGGTGGTCACCGTCCCTGCCTACTTCAACGACTCCCAGCGCCAGGCCACTAAGGACGCCGGCGTCATTGCCGGCCTCAACGTCATACGTATCATCAATGAGCCGACCGCTGCGGCAATCGCATACGGCCTCGACGAGAAGGCCGGCGGTTCATCCGGCGAGAAGAACGTGCTCATCTTTGAACTCGGCGGCGGCACCTTCGACGTCTCCCTGCTCACCGTCGAGGAGGGCATCTTCGAGGTGAAGGCCACTGCCGGCGACACTCACCTCGGTGGCGAAGACTTCGACAACCGGTTGGTGAACCATTTCGTGCAGGAGTTCAGGAGGAAGCACAAGAAGGACATCAGTGGCAACTCGAGGGCGCTGAGGAGGTTGAGGACGGCTTGCGAGAGGGCGAAGCGGACGCTGTCGTCCACAGCTCAGACCACCATCGAGATCGACTCGCTGTACGAGGGCATCGACTTCTACTCCACCATCACCCGGGCGAGGTTCGAGGAGCTCAACATGGACTTGTTCAGGAAGTGCATGGAGCCAGTGGGGAAGTGCCTGAGGGATGCCAAGATGGACAAGAGCAGCGTGCACGATGTTGTTCTCGTCGGCGGCTCGACGAGGATTCCCAAAGTGCAGCAGCTGTTGCAAGAATTCTTCAACGGGAAGGAGCTCTGCAAGAGCATCAACCCCGACGAGGCCGTCGCCTACGGCGCTGCTGTCCAAGCTGCGATATTGAGCGGTGAAGGCAACGAGAAGGTGCGGGACCTGCTGCTCTTGGAAGTCACTCCTCTGTCTTTGGGAATCGAGACGGCTGGTGGAGTGATGACGGTACTGATTCCGAGGAACACCACCATCCCCACCAAGAAGGAGCAGATCTTCTCCACCTACGCCGACAACCAGCCGGGAGTTCTGATTCAGATCTACGAGGGTGAGCGGCGCGGACGAAGGACAACAATTTGCTGGGCAAATTCGAGCTCTCCGGCATCCCTCCTGCTCCAAGGGGCGTGCCTCAGATCAATGTCTGCTTCGACGTTGATGCCAATGGCATACTGAACGTCACCGCGGAGGACAAAACGACGGGGCACAAGAACAAGATCACGATCACCAACGACAAAGGCAGGCTCGGCAAGGAAGACATCGAGAAGATGGTCCAAGAAGCAGAGAAGTACAAGGCGGAGGACCAGGAGCACGAGAGGAAGGTGGAGGCGAAGAACGCGCTGGAGAACTACGCGTACAACATGCGGAACTCGATCAAGGACGAGAAGGTCAGCTCCAAGCTGCCTCCGGCAGACAAGAAGAAGGTTGAAGACGCGATCGAGCAGGCGATTCAGTGGCTGGACTGGAACCAGCTTGCCGAAGTCGACGAGTTGGAGGACAAGCTCAATGAGCTCGAGAGCCTCTGCAATCCAATCATCGCCAAGACGTACGAAGGTGCAGGAGCTGCCATGCACGGTGGGATGCAGGAAGATGGTAATCCCAGTGGTGCAGGGCCTAAAATCGAGGAGGTTGATTAAGCAACATAGTTGAATACAAACGTAAAGATCTGCTGCTGATGTTATCGATCTATGGAGTACATGCTCAGAATGTTCTGATGATAATAACCACGCATGTATGAGCCTTTTTGCCTCCAGGAAGGAGCACAAAATTACATAAGTGTATCATATAGACATTAAAACAAACACATGTAAGGAGTTATTATAGGAAATGAAACATGAGACATATATATTGACCAAGTAGAGTTCAATCGATGGGCGTGCTGATGTTATCGATCGAGTCCATATCCGATGGATAGCCGGTTATACCCAACAATCGTCCACTGCCTTCGTCACTGGATTGCTGAGCCCATGGATGTCTCTCAAACCTCCTCAACCTCTCCAGCTCCTCTGCTACTTCCTTCATCGAAGGTCTTTCCTCCCCGGTGAGTCTCAAGCATCTTTCCGCGAGCTGTGCTACTTCCTCCAGCTGCGCCCTGTCACCCTCGGTGGCAACCCGCCGTTCCAGGATCTCAAAAAGCTGGCCCCTTTCCATGGACGAAATGAAGTGCATTGCCAGCAACTGCTCCTCGCGGGACCTCTGAGAAGAAACCGGTGGCTTCCCGGTTAGCAGCTCCGCGAGCACCACCCCGAAGCTGTAGACGTCGCTCTTCTCGGTGAGCACGCCGGCGTGGAAGTACTCGGGGTCCAAATAGCCTAGTGTCCCCTGTACCAGCGTGGTCAGATGAGCTCTACCTAATGGCACCACCCTCGACGCGCCGAAATCAGACACCTTAGCGGTGTAGTTATGATCCAAGAGGATGTTGGTGGACTTGATGTCCCTGTGAATGATCGGCCTGGCTGTTGCAGAGTGGAGATAGGCGAGCACTCCTGCAGTTTCCACGGCGATCCTTAGTCGCGCTTGCCATGACAGCGAGGAGTAGTCGCGGCGGCCGTGGAGGCGATCGGAGAGTGTCCCATTGGGGACATACTCATAGACCAGCAGCGGGACTTGAGTCTCCAAACAGCAGCCCAAGATCTTGACCACGTTCCGGTGCATGACCTGGGAGAGAACCACCACTTCGTTGATGAACTGTTCCACTTGGCTCCTGTCGAACACCATGGACTTCTTAATGGCGACCACGCTGTTGTCTGGGAGGATCCCCTTGTAGACCGTACCATTGCCGCCCTTGCCGATGACTCGATCTTGGCTGTAGTTGTTGGTGGCCTTGGCGAGCTGCTTTGCGGTGAAGATCTTGGCAGTTCGAGCTGCTCCTTCGCGCGAGGCGATCTGCTGCTGCAAGAGCACTCCCCCGTTCTCCTCGAACAGCTTCTCTCTCATTTGTACCAACCTCCTCTTCTTCACTCCCCAGTAGATCAAGGAACTGATCACCAGCAGGAACATGAAGCCTGATCCACAACCTACAGCGTGACAGAGACATGGTGGAAACGATCGGTGACTCCAAAAACAGTAGAACAGAAACAACCGGAGGGCATATGAGTTGACTACCTAGAACGACTTGTACCAATGGAAATGTCTTGGTTGCTGATCTGCATCCACTTCCATCTCTTTTGCCATCACCTGCCGTGGCATCCGTGCAAGAGCAGATATAGCTTCCAGGAGTGTTGGTGCAGATGCTTACACAAGGATTTGAGGTTGGATCTTCACACTCATTGATATCTACAAAACCAAATGCACAAACATCAAGGGAGTTTATTAGCAGCTGAAGACCAAGTGTTCGATGAAATGCCTACCTTCGCATCCGACAGCAAGGTACGGATTGCCATGGTACCCCTGGTTGCATCGGCACTTGTACCCCGGACCGTTGTCAGAATCCACGCATCCGCTATTTGGCCCACAGATGATGCTTCCCGACTTGTTCGCGTCGCCGCAGGTCTGGTTGCCCACCGCCCAATCCAACACGATCGGCACGGTGCTCCTGCTCCGGAAACGGATGAAATCCGGAACGCTGAACTCGAACTGCTCCTGGTCGATCAGGAAGGCAAAACTGCAGGGGCTAAAGCTCTTCGTGGTGGTGTGGTTCTGCACGCTGCCGAGCAAGGCGTCGAACCTCTTCATCCCCATCGGGATGGTGGTCTGGCAGCAGCCGCTGCCGGCGCAGGTGCCGTTCGCGACGCTGTCGTCGTCGGCGCACAGCGAGATGCAGCCGCTTGTGAAGTCCACGAGCGTGGCGCGGTAGAGGAGCGCTAACGTGTCGCACCCGATGGCCGTGAACCTGTTGCGGGCGTAGGAGAGGGTGTAGGGGGTGTTCTCTATGTTGGTCCACACGTGACTGGAGGTCGATAGCTCGCCGTAGCAGTCGCGGGCGACCAACCCCTCCATGAACACGTTGTCCAGAGTTACTTGGGTGATCTCGATGTTGCCGGAGCCCATGAAGAGCTTGGGAGGGTCATAGAACGTGTCGTTGCATGTCATCTTGAAGCCCGGCATGTAGCAGTCCTCCTCCATGCCGAACGGGTAAGGGAGAGTGAGGTTGCCGCAGGCAGTGCGGCAGCCTGGTAGGGCAGTGGAAATTGGCGATGTCGCTTGGGCGAGGCATAGGAGGAAGAGAAGGGCGATCAGGGACTGGGCAACCATTGCTGAAGCCAGCAAGCTGCCTGAGCTTGAGGCTCTCATGCACGCTCTTTAGTTGCCCAAGCTTTGACTTCACTTGAAGGCTAATTAGGTAGAAACGCGTCACAGGAGCCATTATTGTTGACCACTTCGAAGCTGGGGCGATCTGCACAGATCATGCCCACATTTCTGCCCTGCTCGATCAATATTCTATCGACACCATTTCTAAATGCCTGATGTCTTCTTCTTCTGGGCAAAACAAGAACGTATACATCACGAAGGATATCGGAGTGGGGTAGATATGGTGTCCCAAATTAAGCTTACTTTGTTCGCTGTTGTTGATCACAGGTCAAGCCAACGAGATGCAGTTGACTTCCTTCCATGTGAGGAGAGCCACCGAATCCGACACTCATCACGCGGGACGTGACAGCCGCGCAAGATCATCAGCCGCTTACGTTGACTGAAGGATATGCATGTTGACTTTGCGTCATTTTATATAGGTATAGAGTATAATGGAGGCGTCAGTACTATTGACTCTTTGCCGGGCAGTGCGTACGTATCTCAGGAAAGTTCCTTTTGAGACGGCTGGTTATTAGTTGCTGTCGAAATACTATTAACGAATTTGATCTTCAGATTAGGAGGTGTGATTCGAATAGTAGAATTAACGTTCTTATTCACTTCCGATCGAATAGATGAATTAATGATCTTATTCACTGAATACATAAAAAATATAACACAAAACTGTTCTTCGCCTTAAAATAAGACATATTATGTTCTGCATGATCGCGACACAAACAGATTTGGATACAAAAGTGAGTCAAAGGGAAAAGGAAGTCCTGATGGCTGGACAATCATCATCATCATCAACCTTCGAGTCTTCGTCATCCTCTGGTCATTTCCAGAGAGAGCATGATATGTGCATCTAAGTCTTCGTCTCCGGTGATAGGACTTGTGTAGTACACGGTTGCTGGTTCCCTGAGCAAGCTCTGACTCTCTCCGTGGTCGTTTTCCAGCCATGGGTGCTCCCTTTGCCTTCTTGTCCGCTCGAGCTCCGCTGCCACCTCCGTCATGGTAGGCCTTTCGTTCCCTCGCAGCCTAAGGCATCTCCTGGTCAGCTCGGCCACCGTGAGCAGCTGCTCTCGGTTTCCCTCGTTGCGTACTCGAGGCTCCAATATCTCGAACAGGCGGTCTTCCCTCATGTGAACGAGGAAATAGATGGCTAAGTTCTGCTCTTCTTGCCGTCTGGCTTGAGAGATGGGCAAAAGCCCCGTCAGGAGCTCCGCGAGGACGACGCCGAAGCTGTAAACGTCGCTCTTCTCCGTCAGTTGTCCGGTCTGGAAGTACTCGGGATCCAAGTAGCCGAGTGTGCCTTGGACCAACGTGGTTATCTGCATCCTGTCCATGGGGATCAGCCTCGAAGCTCCGAAGTCGGACACCTTCGCCATGTGGTTCTCGTCGAGGAGGATGTTGGCGGACTTGACGTCCCGATGGAAGATCGGCCTGGCGGTGGCGGAGTGGAGGTAGGCAAGCGCCCCGGCGGTCTCCGCCGCGATCCTCAGGCGCGTCTCCCAGGAGAGCGACGACGCGCGGCCCTGGCCGTGGACATGGTGGTGAAGGTTGCCGTTGGGAACGTACTCGTAGACCAGCAAGGGGACCTGCGTTTCCAAGCAGCAGCCCAGGATTCTGACCACGTTCCGGTGGATGACTTGGGAGAGGATGACCACCTCGTTGATGAACTGCTCCAACTGGCTCTCGTCGATGACTCTGGACTTCTTGATGGCCACCACTCGGTTGTCCCGTAGGATTCCCCTGTACACGATGCCGTAGCCGCCTCTTCCGACCACGCGGCTCTCGCTGTAGTTGTCGGTGGCCCGTTCGAGTTCCTCTGCTGTGAAGATCCTGGCGGTCTCTGCAGCGCCCTCGCTGGAAGCGATTCGCTGCTGCAGCAACAGCCCTCCGTTTTGCTCGAAGAACTTCTCTTGGAGCCTCATTTGCCGCCTCTTCTTCAGCCCCCAAATCAGCCAAGAACCAGTGATGAGCAGGAAAAGGAGTCCCAGTCCGCAACCTGCAGCACGATGAACAGAGCAGGTCTCAAAAGCTCACACAGGACATGTACAGAGACAGCCAACTTACCAAGCACAACTTGGAAGAGCGGAAATCTCTTGGCGTCCTTAATGCAGCCGCTGCCGCTCCTCCTGCCATCGCCAGAGAATCCCCGCGGACAAGAGCAGATGTAACCTCCTGCCGTGTTCTCACAGATGGCAGCGCAGGGATTGGTCGCCGGATCCTCGCACTCGTTTATATCTGTCGATGAAACCAATGGTAAGTTAGACCGGTGATCCTTGGGTCGATAAGAAGGCAACGTACTGTACCTTGGCAACCACGGGTTAGATAAGGATTCCCTCGATAACCAGTATTGCAGCTGCAGCGATAGCCCCGACCATTGGTGGAGTTGACGCAGTGGCTGTTGTCGCCGCACGAGAAGTCCGGCGACCCGCTCCCGTCCTCGCAGCTCCGGCTCCCGATCGCCCAGTCCATCACCACCGGCACCACGCCGTTGTTCTTGGTGTAGAAGTCGTCGAGGTCCGTCAAGTTGAAGACGAATGTCTCCCGGTCCACCAGGAAGGCGTAGCTGCAGGGGCTGAAGGTCCATGTGGTGCTGTGGTTCTTCACGCTCCTCAGAATGGTGTAGATACTCTTGAGACCCTTGGGAATGGAGGTCTGGCAGCAGCCGATGCCGGCACACGAGCCGTTGACGATGCTCGACTTGTCGCTGCAGTAGGAGAGGCAGCCGCTGGAGAAGGAGAAGCTGGACTGGTAGTTGAGGGCGACGGTGTCGCAGCCGAGCGCCGTGAACATGTTGCGGGAGTAGGAGAAGGTGTAGGGGAGGCCGGTCACGTCGGTCGATATGCTGTTGATGTTGGTGCCCAAGCCGAGGCCGGAGAAGCAGTCGCGGGCGATCGGGGTGTAGATGGTGACGCCGTCTTGGGAGATCTCGGCGACCTCGATGTCGGTGGTGGAAAGGAACAACTTGGGGGGGTTGTAGGTGGTGTTGCAGGAGACGTAGAATCCATGGCTGAGGTAGCAACCGGAGGAGGTGCCGAAGGGGTACGGAATGGACACGTTGCCGCACTTGCCGGAACAGCCCGGTAAGGCGTCGGTAGGGATGGCGATGGAGGCCAATGAAGGTGCGAAGAACAGGAGGTGGAACAGCAACAGAAAGTGGAACATGGTTGCTTTCTCCTACTTGTCTTCTTCCTTACCTCAAGAAGTTGTTTGGCGATGACAAAATGGAGTGAGGGGGGCGGTATGTATGTGAGACGCAGGGAAGGCACAATCGTGCCGAAGGCCACCCCAGCAACGGCGTAGACCGACTTTTAAGTGTCCTCCCCCTTCACAAGTTAGTGGCAGTGTATCCCACCACATAAAGGAGTCCATTGCGGACGAAACAACATCTCATAAAGTCACCCACTGATCAATAAACAACTTGTTTCTTCCGAAGCTCCAACCAGTTTAGCACGCCTAAGTCAACGCAAGGAATACGCCGTTCTAGCCCTAATTTTCTTCCTCTCTCTCGAGGAGGAAGACGAAACAATGTCATTGACTTCAAACCTGCATGACAAAAAATGCCTCTGAATAGTTATTGACAATAGCATCCTCCGGATTACGTGAACCCCACAACAAGAGGGTGAATAGCTCAAATTGACAATAGCATCCTCAGGTACTCAAGCTGTCAATTTGTTCACCAGAACGTGGTGTGCGCTCCCTAGTGATCAAAGCATGAAGCAGGGAACTCAAAACAAGATAACATAGCCCGTAAAATAAAAGGATAACAATTCAATAATTAATCATTAGCAGAAAAAAAAAAGGCACAAGAAGCTCTATTAACAATTCCATAATCTCATACTCATCACTTGTTACGCTACAAGTTCATCATCATCCGGATTTACGATCTACACATGATGTATACATGATCAACCCAAACATCCCTTTCATTTACAAGCAACAAAAGCTGCTTAGAAAAAGATATGCACAAGCAGTATTGCAATCTGTGCTAGCTTGAACTGCAGGAGAACAATGGCACGGTCGGCATTAGCAGGGCAACCAAGACACCACAAATCACCCATGAAAGGCATCAAACATGAGGGACTGCACTGCAGAACCAAGTGGCAAATCTTTAGAGAGAAGAGAGGCATCCAAGGCAAGGTAAACAATTAGGACAAGCTGGTAACTAAGCAAGTAATTGTAACAATTAGGAGTAGCTGCTCCATCAAGCTGGTAACTAGTTGAATCACAAGATTTCAAGGTCAACAAAGGCTTGATGTGGAAATCAAACGAGATAGTTCTACAGTTCAGAAATAACACCAATATGTCTTATAGCAAATTAACAGAAAAGGGGGGGAAAAGTTCATAACATAAATAGTAAATAAGAGTCGCCTTAGCTTGTTGGCTCACATATTTGTCCATACACCATTACTGAACCTTTCTCTTAAAAGAAAAAGGGTAGATATTACACAGATGAGCTCCAGCACAAGAGTACATTAATTTAGCTTAGATCAGTGAACGAAATCACCATCATTTCCACACTCTGGACCCATAACATCATATCATAAAGAAAAATTAAAAAAAAAATGGAATTACTAGTATATGTTACAAGATAGTATTTGAGTCAAAAATGAAAAGACAACCCTAGAAATTTGTCATAATTTCACCATTTGGTCATGCTGAATATATACCAAAACTATAACTTATATACTTGTATAGTTCTGAGCAGCAGTAAAAGCAAGACTTAGATTTTTTTTTTTTGGGGCACAAAGATGAAAATTTCCAGCTTGATTAAGTAAAAGCTCAAAACAACAAAATTGTTTAATTAAACACTGCACAGCTGTAAACAAGATTTTAGATATTTTCTTAACAAAATATTTTTGCACTATTGTTCCAATATTCTCTTCAAAGCAAATACTCAAATGCATAGTTCACCAAAAAAGAAAGTGCTTTGCAACTTATCTAGGTTCTTGCCAACAAACTACTTTCACACACATTGTACAAGGGATACTGTAAACAGCATCCCTACTGCATGAAGCTCCCACCAATTCAGGATCTGTTGTGAATCAAGGCATCGAAAGCTTATTTGAAAATGTAACCATATTTGCTTCCTTGACACCAATTATCTTCCATATGACAGAAACCTATATTATCTTAATCACTGCAGTTCTGATGCCAAACAGTTACATGCTGTTATCTTTTAATTATTTCCACAAACAGCACCATGAATACTTTATGTGGCTACAGATTAAAAAAAGGAATAAATTGGAAAATGTGCAACGAAGAACTTGCTGACCCACCATAGAAGTGCCAAGGGACAACTAAAAAGGACAATTGTAAAAGAAAAACCATGCCCTAATGCGACCCTTATCTACTAGCTAGACCAAATCAAACATGACCCAATTGTAATTCATCAAAACGCAAAAGTTCTCAATATTAAATCGATGTTAACTCCAATTCTGTTAAACATTTTTCCATCAATCGTCAAAAAATAAAAATATGAAGAAAATAAAAAGAAAAACCAAAAAGAGCACAACCATATTATTAAAATCTAAATATACCATGCCCTAACATGACCCAAATATTCTAGCTAGACCAAAAATTGCACATTACCCACTTGTAATCCATCAAAACACAAAAGATCTCAATACTATATCATCACTAACTCCAATTAAGTTAAACATTATTATATTATTTGTAAAAAAAATTAGCTCACATAAATTGCAAGACCCAAATTGAAAGTGTGCCAAGATAAGATATGCTTTTCTACAGAGTATTTATTTTCTAACCTCAAATTTTGTTGCCCTCAAAATCACTTAGCTAAGCCTTAGTTCCCAAAAGCTGATACAAGTGCAGTGGTGGCTGCAAATGACGATGAGTGTGGCAAGTTCTAACAGTACAAAGGTAGGAAGAAGTTTGGAAAACACCCATAAATAAACCTATGAATCAGGAAAATTTAAGTATTACAGAATTTTAAATTAACAATGAACAGTAATTATTACAGCTACTTTTAAAGATGTGTTTCCTCTTTTGTTCATTTTTTATTTCTTCCTTTCTCTTCTTTTCATTCTCTAATTATTCCTTTAGTTTGCTCTTCATTTTCTCATTGTCTTCCCCTTTTCTTTTTCCTTCTCTTCTTTTCTTTTACATGAAAAGAGAAATTCTTGGAATTCAAATCACTTACTTCATGGGAGTTAAATCTCTCACATCTTTCTCTTTCAGACTTGCACAGTTGAATCCCTGATCTCTTTTTGATGGCACATCATAATGGAACCTGCCCAACAGCAAAGCCTGATGACAGCAGCATTCCAGTGACAATGATTGACAGATCCATCAGCTTCTTTCCTAGCCACTTCTCTTCATCTTCTTCACAGAAGACCTGCAGCAATGTGATGTATGCCCACTGCCACTGCTCAGTAGTCTAGGATGGTAAGAATCACGGTTTTAAATGTCTGTCAAAATTCCTAACCGTTTACACTTTGTCTCAATTCCAAAACAAGTACCCTAGGTGCATTACCATCCCCAGCTACTACGAACTATCCAAGCCCTTCAAGGCAACCCCCACATTCACCTAAAATAAAAATTGTAATGAAAGAAAACTATACGTACCAACTTCAAAATAAAAATTGGTCTTTGTATTATATTAATGGACTTGGAGTAAGAAAATTCAAAATGATTTTTGACAGTGTCTTGCTCGGATTCAAAGCTTAAGGTCAAAGGAATATCAAGATCATGGTTCTAGATGCTGCTGAGACCAGTCCATATCAATCTATCAACAGAATTTCCTGCCAACTACCTTCAGAAGTGATGCATGGGTTTTCAAAGTCCCTAGAAAAGTTGCAACCAAATTATCCCAGCAAGCATATTACCACATGCAAATTAAAAAGATTGAAAGCAAACAAAGAATATGGATATCACTTCAAACTCGATTACCAAATCAAAAAAATGTGAATTTAACAAAATATCCTTTCACTTCTCAAGCAAATGCAAGAAGGAATCTGACAGCAGAAAACTCTCGGGCATAACAAACAGCTAATGGTTTTAAACTATGAGAAAATGAAGTCATGTATAGGCTTAGCAATAAAAATCCAAAATATGAAGTCATCAGGAACTACATAACAATACAAGTGTCTTACAATTAATTATTGGAAAAAAGGGCCCTGCTGATACATACGATTCTCATGCTGCACCATCATTGGCTCCTGATAATAATTATGATCGATAAGCATATATAGAGCACACTTGTATCTGAATTTTAATTTATCGTTCTTACCGTTGGCAAAATATATTCCAAAAGTCCTAGCAGAAAAAAGACTAAAGGTATATATACCTCTTAAAATAATCCTAATAAAGACCATTTAAGTTGGTGGTCGTTTGTCGAAGCACTTCAGAACTCCGGTCGAGACCATGAGATGCCACCTTGTGCAATTTATAAAAGGAGCACAATCAATTAAAAGTTATACAAAACCATGCAAACCAAATTATATCAACCAAAAACATTAAAAGAAACAGCAATGTCAAGGATTCAATTCATTCAATCGGTTGTTCAGATCCAAAATAATTTCACAAAAAAGACCATAGCATATTACTCACCAAATATGTAAGAGCAGCATAGCGCTCCTTGCTCAGATACAAAGGCTTCCCTCGGGACATGTCATGGTCCTGCATACAAGTGGTATAATATACATGTCAGAGACCACAGAACACTAAAATAAGACATGAGAGAAGGATCATCAATGTATAAATTGTCCAAACAACCATGACAAACAGACATTCATGAGGACCAGCTTGCTTGAGTTCAAAAATCCCCTGACATCGGCCAGTAGGCATGCCATAAATAATTACAGGTTATGATATACCCATAGTTTATGGCATGCTCTAGGTGTGTACCTCAGTAGCAGCGAACCAAAGCACTAGTATTGGAAACATGGGACAGCAAGCCTATCATAGGCAATACATGTGACTAGGGATTAGGGAAGAAAAAAACTTCATTTATTTTTTTTCAAATGGCTCACAGAAAACCCTAATATGATACCTTCTAGAGCAGTATCGAGAAAATCATTATCCTTACACAGGACTCAGGAAAAAGGTTGAGTAATTCCTTATTATGACTCCAAATTTAAAAAAGCCCAAACTAGTAGGGTAAGAAACAAACTACCAATAAGTTATATCAAAAAATAATGTGTGAGCAGTAATTGAGAACCTACTATGGCAATTTGATAGTAACCACCCTATTATAATTCAAGTTTTACCTGCTGACATTTTTGAACTAAAACCATAAGAAAAACGAGATACAAAACAGCAGATATCTAGGTCAACAAGATTAACCAGCAAAGAGGAGCCACTAAGTTCAACCAAAAAACAGAATTCACTAAAAAAAATTACTAGTATGCCACATCATGACCCAACCCAACAAACATACTAATCCTGTAACTTGGATATTACAAACCTTTTATCATGTTTCCCAACTTTATTAAACCAACTTTCATCATGTTTTCCAACTTTATTAAACCAACTTTCATCATGTTTCCCAACTTTATTAAACCCAAGTTACTAGTAGCCAGCTTGTCACATGTTGCATTCATCATTATTGTCTACTATGGGACTTTGGAGGAGTCACAAACCACATGGCTTGGTTCTTAAAAGTCTAAGTACCATAAAATCATAGAACTCCAGAAGATTTTGTGACAAAGAACCAGTGCATGATCATAATCTCCTTCAAAGTCAACCCCTCACCTAGCCTGTCCATATTCTTCCTTGAATGCTACCTCTCCACATGTTTGTGTGTGCATGATATTTCTCGGTCACAACCAACATCTCTGCTTCTCCACCAACACACACAAACACCTTCAGCTAATATACTGGATAGTGCCAAGGTGTGAAGCATCTCTGTATGCCTTCTCTGCTCCGTCAATAAAATCATCTTTCCACCAAATACCACCTTGCATTAAATACCATCTCACATCCCCAGCTTCCAATACCCCACTAATGTACTCATCTTTCTCATCTCCAAACTCTCCAAACACCTCGGTTACCTGGTTGAGCATATTTACCCATTATTTAACCAGGAACATATGACTGACCACAAATTTGTGTATACTTTATGCATGGAGCAGCAATTACCAGTATGTATACTTCAGAAAATTTTCCAACCTCCCAGCAAGGTTTTGATTCCATAACAGCAATATTCCTAAGCTTGCTAATCATCTACTAATCAGACAAAAAAACTCTTCGACATCAACTTTGGAACTGAAATCCATTTTACTGAATTAGATTATGTATTATCATATATAATACATAATCCAAAAAATGAATTACCATTAGAACAGAATACATAATCCATCATAAGTTGAGATAGCACTGCTAGAAGTCAGTTGTAAAAGAGCCGCTAATATATCTGATAACTTGTTAAATGATCACAGATTTTACAAGAATGCTGTGCAAAATATACATTTAATACACAATGCATTTTCTTCATAAATGATTCCTTACCCACTTAAAAACTTACAGATAATATCAAATTTTTTGATTTGTCACTCAACTATCTACATTTGGAATTGAAAAGCTTCAATCATTCCTCTGAAATGTTTGTACCTTTACAATTTTAGTTCCCGAATGTGTATATGACAGGATAAATTTATAAGCTGATACAAAAAATATTCAGAAAAGCAAAAGCAGCACCAGCCCATAACATCAAACTGAGGACTTTCTTATCTGACCAAGTACTAGAGCAATAAAATATATCACAATTACCTCTTCACCAAAGGCATCCAAATAAAGAGATGGCCAGAGGGTCCGACGAGCTGACCTCTGCAATAAGATTGTGGTTTTCTGCAGATATGAATAAGGCAATGAAGCTAAATAAAATGTGACCTTTACCAAACACAAAGCAGAAAACAGTGTGATATACATACCCTGACCAGCAAGAATACACCAATACCAGCCCCACAGATCATTGCATGATTTAAGCATTTGCTTTGCCTAAAGGAGAATAACCAACTACTAAGGTGACAGCTTTCCTAAGATATGGAAAGTACAGAAATATACCAAACAAAACATGGTCAACCATAGATTATAAGTACATGAAGTTAAATAGTATTAAGGTACCTGCAGCAAGACTTCCGGTATAGCGAACATAATTTACCACAAAGCAAGCACAAAGCAGGTTCCTCTGGGACAGACTTGCAATTAGAGCATGGTAGCTTTATGTACCTGGTAAAAGATTACAATACTTTAGCAACTCTTGACAGCCTTACCCTTTATAAAAATAGACCTTTCACCATAAAACTGCCTGATATTTTGAAGTACACTAACTTTTTCAGTAGATCCTGATAGATGAGAGGAAGTTCCATCAGCTTAAAGGGAACAGCAGGAGATGAAGCTAAAACGCCTCTGTACTTACGAACTCCAAACTCATCACAGAAATGGTCACACCATCTCAAAGCCAAGGCATGCACAACCTCATTCTTGAGAACCAATTCCAATGAGCAAATCATAAACGTGTCCTCCAATTCCCTTATATTATTGAGCTCTACTCTTAGTTGGCTATCACTATCCAATTGTACATCTTTTGAACAAAGATATGACCTTTCCCATGTGTGACTGTCATATGACAGGGACAATGTTGAAGAGTTTAGCAAATTCCAAAGTAGTGCACATCTACGAAGGTATGGAAATGTTAGTCTGCGTATCATATCCTTCGGATGGTAAAGGTGATCAATATAGCTGGAGACAAAATACTGTCTCACACGGTCGGATTCTGCCATTGTCCTGCAAACATCATTAAGAACGTTGCTGCCAAAACTTGATACATCAAAACTTTGATTGCCATAGCATGTAATCATAGCCTGCAAAAAATACAGATAAGGAATAAAAACATATTATACTGACAGTCAATATTCACAGGGTCAGGTATTGATACAAAGGGTTAAATATTAACAAAAAAATATTAGCATGACATTATACTACTTACATACCTGAACAATGCAAACAGCATAAAATAAATGCACAAGAGCAATGAAACATTCTCTTGAGGATTTAAAAGGGGCTGGGAGGCAGAAAAGAACCCACATAAAAGAAGAAAAAGGATCATGAGCAAGAATAGGATCCGCAGCACGTTTCCAGAATTGTATGTCAGGAAAAGCTTCCCCATTGTCATAACATTCAAACGAGGAAGAAGTTGTGCCTGCAAGGGCATGATGAATAAAGGTGAGTTTCATAATTTCTTCTCTGAATTTAATATTCTCCCCACGGAGAGAGTCAAATCAAAAGCTGCATTTTTCGAACTCACTGCCAACTAATAACTCAAAGTACCAATTCATTATTACATTTCTTCATATTCAATATTCAAATGATATTAGTTCTTGCCTTAGCAAATATATACAGGTTTTCCTGTGAAGGTTTTTCCACATTATTAATATTACTCCAGAAATAACTAATATGGTTATCCAAGGTTGATTGGAAAGATAATTATAATCCAGGAAACTTTCACCATGATTGCAAGAGTATGTCTACAATTTCACAACTGGAACTGGATTGACAATTTTATAACAATTCTGATGAATACAAATCAAGCAGTTACTTATAATTTCTCAGTTGTTCCCCTTTCAGATAGAAAAACTCTAAAACAAAAGAATCTTGTTCATGTTACATGAGAAATGAAACTGTACACAAAAACTTATTAACAAAACTATCAAAAATTGTCTTCTTATCGGACTACCAATTTTCATCTTATTCATCAATGAGTCAACTTTACACAAGATAGTCAAGTATAAAAAACAAAAAATATCAGCTTCCCAAGAATGTAAAGATCACTCATCTATCAAAGCACACTACTAAAAGGAGTAACTTCATCGACTTGTAAGGGATCTTTAGAAAATCATTATATAGGAGAGAGATTGTTTTACAAATTGGATAATAGCTTAGTAACATGATAATACATTTAAGATATCCATATCCCATCTGATATTTATTTACAAGCTTTTTAAAAACTCAAAATGACACTAAATAATCAGTGTGCTACATATACTAAGGATAACATTATTTCTTATTGTAACAGAACAAAAGGTGCAAGTCACTATCAATACCTTTTTGCTTATCTCCATTGGACAAGTAATTATCACCGGACACACCAGAACATATAGACCCTGCTAGAAGTTGAAGACTGCTGAACCTCAAGAGAACTTCAAGACAATTAGAACTGCCAGCAGACTGAGCAACATGGACCAGAACTGACATTATATACCCACTAGAAGAGCGAAGTTCCTCAGTCAAAGATTCTAAGCAAGATTGAGATCCAAGTGAATTTGTGTTCAACTTTGCCCGGGCAGCAATTTCTGTAGCTGTAACTGAGTACCTAAGTGTGTCCCATAGAATTAAGGATCGACTGAGCCAACCAGGGGCTGACAAACTACTGTAACTGTGAGAATAATACAGCATATACAATTTTCTGAGGGAAGGCTCTAAAACTGAATTCATGGTCTCATTAATTTTTCCAGACAAAACCTTTAGATTTCTGCACTGTCCAACAATTTTTGCTGTATTTTGAAGAAGAGATGATGCAAGAACAATGTGTAAGTTGCTACAGTTCATGTCTGATGAGGTTGAAGGAACGTCATTTGGCATTGAACTGCTGAAGGCTGATTCTTTTGTCGTTGAAAGTTTATTGGAGAAACCAGTGCGTGCTGGGAGGATGGCGTTCGCAAATCTCCGGCATACTGGACAAAGTAACTCTCCCTGAAGTCAAAAAAGACGAAGTAACAAAATCATCTAAAGATAGTAAGAAAAAAGTCAACGTAACTAAACAATTTAAAGAAAGTACAATAACAAGAATATGACAAAAAGATTTACCAGGTCAGGATCCACAATATGACTTCCTTCAAAGCCAAGATTCCCAATGTATCTGAAATTACAAGAGATAACCAAACACATGAAATTAACTTTCACTTCATGAAAGAAGATAAATGAAAAGTTATAATGTTGGTATCTTATCGAAAGAGTATTTCATAATCCTATAACATCTGGGTTTTTTTTTTTGTGAATGAACTATGCCTGTCATATTCACAATCAATTAAATTTGGTAATCTAAACACCTTCTCTAAATATTTATTGCTTCACAAACTTAATAACAAACAAAATTGTTTTTTCGGAGACACAGATTTTGTCATAGAAATATATTTAAACAGAACTAGGGTACTATTATGTGACTTTAGGGTAAAGAAGAGTGAACTATAAGGTCATGAAATTTAAATAACAATTTATTGACGAGATAGCAAAACTATCTTTACTGGATATATGTTGCATGATACAATACCGTAATATCAAGTTACAAGTACAATATAATCACAAATCAAGGAAAAGGCAAAACAAAACAAAACAAAACAAAAAAGCATTTCAATTAAACTGAAGACCATAGAAGCTAAGTTTTCCTCACCATATAAGACACAAACAGATAGGGAAGAGTGGCAAATAATCCAAACTAAAATTCATGCTGATCTGATAGTAATTAGAAGCCACCAGTTGTTATGATGCATTCATCACAATCTAACTCCAAGGACTCATAATTTCTATGACGATGCCAATGAAACTAAAACTATTCAGCAATTTAATGAATTTCAGAATAATTTGAGATACATGCTGTCTCCTTGGATTTAGTATGCACTAAAATTATTTTTTTTATTCTAGACTACCATTAACCATTCTTTTCCAGCCTATGGAACGTCCACTGACAATATTAATACTTAGGAAAAAAAAGAAGATAATTTTCATTTCAATATTGAACTTGAAAATAATTGCTAAAAAGTATCTGGGCTTTCCTTTCTGTAAATACATTTTATCTAAGGATCCAAATCTGTTAAATCAGTTAAGGAGTCTCTGAAAATCATAATAGGCTAGCTATGAGACAAAACAAATTCAAACCAACCACAAAAGTAGCTATAGATTATATCAGATAACCTCCATTAGCTCTATAACCAAACACAATAAAAGTAAGAGGTACTTAAATGATGATTGACAATATAATTCATAATACAGTATAATGAGTGCTACTGTCATACATAGTAAAAGCTTTCGAATAATAGTGAGGAAATCATAATAATTCGAATGCCCTTTTACCTTCAAAAGTTGGTTTGATTTACTTGTCTAGCTCAGTATGCTAAACACTCTGTCTACTTAGACCTCAAAATAGAGGGGCATTAACACAAGGATTACAGCTTACATAAGTAAAGAGTTGCTGCACTTCTACCAGAAGATATATAAAAAATTTCAACTGCTGACTTCAAGAGGATAAAGAACTTTGAATCCATGAGCAGAGAAAAGCTTGTTTTACATCTAATCGCCACATGCAGTAAGCTACATCTTGGACCACTAATACACAAGAAGGTGCATGCACTTGAATGTAACATGCACCAATGTCTTGCAATAGTGCATTAGCATACATAGCACCCTGAAATAGCACCTTAGCATGCACCAAATGTGATGTGGGTACCACCAACCAATTGTGTAACTTCCACAGCAATCATTTACAGAAAATGTTAGTGCTACAAATCAAATTTGAATCTGTGCATGATATTTACAGAAACTTATGATGATCGAGCTTGTTCACTTTTGTCTGTTCTTTTTTATTATTATTTTCATTGATCTGCCCACAAGTGTTTCTCATGATCCTAGTCCTCTTGGTAGATGGACAAATGTAAATTACATGAAGGACTTCCATGGAATAGATTAATGTGTCCTCAAATAGAATGTTCAGTATTGCAGTTGTCAACTATTGACTAGTTTGACTTATAAATACCAGAAGGAAACTAAATGACAAAGGATGACATGGATTATGGCCATAGCCATTGTAAAAAAAACAAGGATGTTAGCTTCTAGACTGTCTTCCCGTAATAAGTTCATCATGATATTTGATACATTACCAGATTCCGCTGTTAAAATTCCTGCCATTAACTGATCACTAATACATCAACAGCTAGAAAATGAGACCTGTGAGATCAAGAAGAGAAAGTGCTATTTCTTTGTTGCATTTAGTAAAACATTCAGGAACATACGTAGTTACGTACACCCTTGAGTATGAGATCTTACAATGTATTTTCTGTTTTTACTATAGAGAAGTCAACCAGATAAAAATTCTAGTATTGAAAATCAACAATAAATTTAAGATTATGTGAAAATTAAAAAGCATCATCTATATTTGGCATAAATTTTCTGTAACTTTATTTAGCAAAATTATATAACCTTATATTTTTCCCCTCCTCAAGAGTGTAAAATTATTTATTGAAAAAAATGGATATTTTCTATTTGTATTATCAACAGCCTGCACGATTCAAGGATCTGAATTATAAAAAATACAATATCATATGCCGACAAGATCCAGGGTCTATTTGCATCACATACCTTTGCTTCAAAGACACCTGATATCTATCATGGCATTCCCGATGCACAGCATGCCCACAAGAAGAAATATGAATTCCATCACAATCACTTGGACCAAATCCACTAATCGTAGTACTTGAAGCAGTTGACCTTGATGCTAAATTCACAATGCGTTGAGGGCCAAAAATGAAAGAGTGATTTTGTTTTGACTCTCTTGATAGACTTAAAACATACTCACCAAGCGCAAAAAATTCTGCAATGCTTCCTTTTCTTGAACCCAATACAGCATCCTTGGTTAAATATTTCTTTTCAGCATCCAGAGTATCTAAAATAGATTTAGAATTGTGCATATCCCTTAGAATAGACCGGTAAATATCATCCTCCATACTCTCAAGGGATGCACTAAGTTCTGTGTCAGTACCAGGAAAGACATCAAGTGGTTGAATGTTTCTAAAAGCAGGCAGTTGTTCATTCAGAAAGACCAAAGACCTATCAACTTCTGCAGGTTCCATGTCAAAGGGGAATTCAACACCTACATTCTGAATTGACTGCACTATATTTTTTGAATCAGATCCACCTGGACCATTTGATCCTTCTATACCAGTTGAAGGAATTTCGTTTTGCTGGCCTACATCTTCCCAGGACAGAGGAGCTCTCTCAACAAAAGTTGTAAGACAGGATTTCTGGTTATAACAAAATATGCCAATGATTAAAATTAACAATCAGAAAGGTAAATACGCGACTAAAATATCAGCAAGCCAAACGGCTCACAACTCATCGATTGTAAAACAGAACAAACAAGAAAAAAAAAATAATACTAAACAAATTTTAATAGATAATTTTATGATTTTTATCAATTTTTAAGCATACTTTGAAAACCAACTTTATGGACAAAAAAATTCACAAATGCACGGGAAGGAGTATATCTTAACCTGGAGAAGAATCAGGAAACACAAAGGACTTTGGGAGTGTGGATCTCGACAAAAAGAGCAAACAATTGCTGATTCCTCAGAAACATTGTCCTCGTGGTCTAACTTTTCCTCTTTGGATATCGAGCCATCTGCTTCACTGTTAGGTGTTGATTTCAAACTGGCCATGAATCTTGATTGTTCAGCTCTCATTTTTTCCTTCAATGGTATCCAGAAAGCAAAAGAAAATTGTTACTTATCGCAAAAATGTTCAACCAAAACCCTAAACATTTCAGTTAAAATGACAGCAACATGTTTTATCAAGCCTACGAGCCATGTTCATGAATAGCTATGACAATATGTACTAAGCAATGTCCGATCCTTTGTACACTTCGACAAAACACCTGCCAAGAAATAGCTATGGAGATTCTAGTGCCTAACAAGTGGTGAATAATTACCATAAGCTAGTCATGAATTTTATCAAATGTTTATTTAGGGCCATAACATACTAATGTTACACATCCATAACAGGGCCACTTTTGCATTCTGCAACTTTACACACTCCAGTAATATCTCAGATAACCAGAAAAGTGGAACCTCATGAAGCTCATTCACATATAATAGTTAAAATAAACAGACTGGAGTAGTTCCAAGCCAAAGCATGGAGTGACATCAAAAACTCTAAAGGTCATATATATTCCTATCAACCGAAAACAATGACACCAAATGCATATTTACAGCTCGTTCTCTATTCTTCCATTTATGTGTGATGGAAGACTGCAGTCACATTATCCAGGAAATCATTTCCCTCCACCAGATAATAATGGCACAAAGCTAGTAGGAAGTGTATTTATTTCCTGCAAATTTGTAATTTGAAAGCTTTTTTGGCTCCACTCCAAGGGAATTTTATAGTAGATTAATTGACACAGCTCTAACATCTATAAAAGAACTCAAAGAAAGGTAAAGTTTATTTATCGTTATTATGAAGTAAAATGAACATTGCAAGTTAAAAAATATGCCCAAGCATAATTTCCTGGTTGCCATTATATTAATGCTTAACCAATATCTATATCGGTATGTTATGCTAAGTCCTAGCTTAACTCTGATGAACAATTAGGGCTTCATCCATAAGGGCCTTGTCATCCAGAGGTCTGCAATGAACAATTGATGATTGAAGCTAAACATAGCACCTGCAAAAAGCCCATCCACACCTTCATCATTGCCCCCTTTATTTCTTTTTATCATTTCCCATGTCCATCTTATACACCACTTCCAACTAAATGCATAATGATAGGATATGACATTATGACCCTCCTACCACTGCATCTGAGGAAAAAGGACGTAGCCACAGAATTAAGCCATTATTTAGTACATGAAAATGAAAAGAACGTCCTAGCATGAGCCCTTAGATCGCATTGTAAATATAGCCAGTCAAAAGATACTGTAGACAAAAGTTTCCCATTTATAGTAACCACTTTATCATTTAAATTTCCACCAAAAGGGATATCTAAAACTCTCCAAAAACATATCATAACAGATCATCAGCCTGTCTAACCTTTTCTACAACTTATGAGGACTATTAGACACAAATAAACTCATTATTAAAAATAACGACAAAAATCAATATGAAAATTACTAGAAAATAATTTTAAAAAAACAGAATCTGCCGTTCAAACAGAAAATTAGTTCGAAGTTCATCTAAAATAGTCTTTAGCTGCCATCATTGAAATTGTAGTCATTGAACATCATATGGACCATTTTCCTTGATCAATCCTGGCTCTGTAAAGAGAGTCAGCTTGTCTGCAGCTTGGTAGAGTAGGACCAAGTTTAACCATTGCTTCCTACAGTTTAGTGGCCTTCATTTTCTTCACATGTTGATATAACGAGGCACCCGAGTTATCAAAGTAAATCATTGTGATGTGTATTTGTTATGATGGGAAAATAAAAACCTTCATCACTTTTTGATCCCTTGACAATAGCTCTATTTTAGTCCCCAATCTTTCAATCTTTTCACCCTATAAACTTCCTAATATAGCTACTAGAAATGATGATGAAATTCAATTTGCAAGTCACTAGAAAATAGAAATTTTCTAATTCAATTTTGTTCCAATTAAATCACTTGGAAGTTCTTCTAAAATCAATGTCTCGATGTCAACACGGATACAAGAGTCATTAAACATCATCTGACCATCATCTCACTCAATAATAGCCTAGGCTAGAAGTGGTGGTCAAGGATCTGGCTGCTGCACGGCACATTTTATATTTCATAAGGACCAGAATTACCTCCCTTACTGATAAATATTTCAAGTTATTTAACACGCATCTCCAGTCATAAAATTGATGGTACAAAGTCATTTCATGACAGGTGAATATAACACAATGGAGGCACAGCAAGGGAAGACATAAATCACCCAGACATCAACGAAAGATGCTACATCAAGAAGCTGAATAGAAGAAAATTTTCATGTTGCCCAAACCTGAATGTTGAAGCTTATGACTTTGATTGTTAACATATTTCCTGGATGTGTATAATCCAAGAATTGTCCCAGGCTCCCAGCACTCATACATGAGTGGCTAAGTGCTTGACCTGCCAGGCAGATCTGGTGTGATGCCACAACACATGATGCACTATATATGGGTAACATCTGTGAGCATATCGAACCCAGTACCATCATGACTAGCACAAACAGATTCCTTATTAAATTCACCCGACATCATAAATATCAAAATAACTTTTAAACATGATGCAAAAATAAGGTATACTCTTGTGCCGATAGTAAGATGTCATTGAGACATTTAACTGATACAAGTGTCAGTAGATACATAAGCTACTTCATATTAATACTTGTTTATAAAGTCCAATTCAATCAATGTTTTCTGCACCAAACAGATCATACATAGCAGATATTACAATTCCTTACGATCAAAGTGGAAACTTAAGTTCACAAAGACAGAACAGAGTTAAGAAAATAACAGTCTAAAATAACTAGCAGGAAAGACCACAAAATCTTACCATTATAGCGGCCTGTCGCTCTCGGGCTTTTGCCCGTCGCTCTTCAGCATCAGAAGCTGATGCTGACCTCTCTGGAGCATCTTCTGCAGGCTGCTTACGCATATGATAGACCACTTCTGGTGCTATTCTTTGAAGCATAACCAAGCAATCGGTGTTCAGTTCAGCAATTTTCTTCACTAATGTCTCGACAAGTAATGAAATGTTACAATGCCTCGTCTCAGAATAATGACTGTCACTTTCTTTCTTGTATTTCCTCATCAGTAAAACTAGCAAGGATAACATGCTTTGGTTTTTGCACAATGCTGATTCACCATGTGCAGCTATGTCAAGTTGTTCAGTAGCATGAGCCAGTATAGGAGGTAAATCTTCCACATAATGTGAAACTTCCATGAATGAGTGGTCAGGATGTGACAAATCAATACCAGAACCATAATTAGTACTACGTGTTTGACTCTGTGAGCCACAAATATCTAAAGCAAGAGAAAGTAAGTGTAAAGCTGTTATAAGAACTCCATCAGGAGCACGAGATGCAAGTGAAACATCCACAAATGCAGCATAAAAGAAAACTGCACGGACAATTTTGAGGACTGCTTTTGATGTAGCTATTCTAGAAATTGTTTTCAAGGGAATATAAATGTTCGTCCATTGTGGCAACTGGACGTTTCGAGCAGAGACTTTACAGAACTGAAAATATCTCTCCTCTGCCACTTGCAAGTCCCTATAATTCCAGCGAGGGTGATACAGGTCCAACTCTTTCCAGTAAGCTTTTCGAAGAGAATATTTACCCTGAAATTCAATAATCATCAGTTAAGTTTATTGATTGAGACGAAGTTTCAAGAAATCTGAAGCATAGTATGTTATGGACCATAACCTGCTTCATGCCAGATGGATTTGAATATGTGGCAAGCATATCCAGAACATTTTGAAGTTGATCACTGTTTGAAAGATCACGAGGAAGAGCCTTCACCAGATGGCTACGGGTGGCATCACCAACAGTGAGTTTATAAACTAATTCTCTCTTCAAATTATCAACAGAAGAAAGGCCAGAAAACCGGCGCTCTTTGACAACCTGTATGATAAGAGTAAGCATCTCTTGCACCAGAACTGCCTCATACCTGTGAATAATGTGTTTTTTCAGTATGCATATGAGTAATAAAATAAAAAACAATTGCAAATTTAATCCTATTCGTATAAATAGACAGCAACAGTATGACTGAGATTGAAGTCGAAGGTCACAATTAATCAAGATGATTAATCAAAAAGATGATTGTTTGGCTCCATTAGTATGTGTAGCTCTGTTCCACAATCAAAAGTTGAAGCTCAATCAAATAGTGAACTGCCAAGCATGTATATGAAACGTATCCGCATATGTAGCTATGTCCACAATCAAAAGTTGAAGCTCAATCAAAGAGTGGACTGCCAAGCATGTATACAAAAACCAGCCATAATTCCAAAACTAGCTCTTTCTCTAAAGGAGATTCTTAAGTTTATATAAATAATGATGTCAAAGGAAACAACAGAATAGGTTTTTCCCAGCTCTACCTACAAACCAATGAAAAAGGGGACATTAACCTAAGGTAGAAAAAGGGGACATTAATCTAAGGTAGAAAATAATGACAGAACTTTGTAGGTTCCCACAGGGATCACTTTTCAATCAAATAGTTTCCAGAAATCCATTTTTGGATACTCAAAATTAAGATATATGAAAATGGCTTATCTGACAAATACTCATTAGCAAGCTTATGAAGGATCCACCATGCGGCATGTTAAATGTCAAATGTAGTGATTTTGCAATCCAAGCTGAAACAAGACTGTACAACCTTATGATGTGACAAAAACTCAAGAACTTTTCAATCACCATCACTAGTGGTCATGACTGAAAGCCAAAACTAGAAAGAAAAAAAAAAGACAGCAACCGACCAACACATTCATATTTGTTCATCAAACTTGTGCAGTCTATGTGCAGTCTATGCTGACCCTAGATTCAATCGTTCATCCTGCAAATCCTCCAGAGGTCACCAGTATTGACTAGCCAAACTCACAAGACAAGTTCTCTCAAAAACTCTTGGCTCCTCAAAAGTAAGAGTTGTCCATGCAATCAAGTCACTCATGACTCATCAACATCTTATTCTTGCATTTTGGCATATCCTATTAATTTTAACAATGACAAGTGCTCAAACATACCGTTTGCTTTTTCCCCTTTCTTCTAAACAACACTGCAAATATTATACCCAATGACATGGGATTACCCTGCCAATGGGATACCAGCTAGGAACAGATATGACATCTCACAAACACTTCGATCATGACCTTTTAAGGTGCACATATAGTACCCATGCCATGTCGACCTTATATCCACAGACACACACAAACACAACCCAGCACCTTGCTGAAATCATGGCAATGATTAAGGCCAAAGTAACTACGGTTGCATTATACCCATAACATTTTTGGTTCGCAGCAACAACTAAAAAGGCAAAATTATATGTTTTGCATGCATCCAAAATTATAAAAGAAACTATTGCCTTGAACTTAATATAAAAAAATAAAAAAAATGTTAGAAGTATCCAAAGTACTGGAAAAGGTCATTTATCTCACTTTGAAAAAATGCAAGAAACAAAGGAAACTTACTCATTGCACTCTGAAAGACTCAAAGATGTATAATTTACTAATCCAAATCTTTCTTGAATTCTCTCGACAAACAATTCTGGTGGAGCTAATGCAGCACAGCATTGCAGCAAGAAAAGATCAGATTCTAGCCCTTGATTAAACCTGGATAAAACAAGTGAAAGAATTGAGATCAACAAGTATAGGTACTATGTTATAATTTCATGTGTTCTTTTTTAATATGAACTAACCACTGGACAGCACGATAAAACTCAGAGTTAAATATGGCTGCATCACCATTCCTGCGCCACATGCCAGCACGTACTTGGGCACAAAACACACGTAACCGAAGAGGATGCTCCATCAGAAAGGCCGAAAATCCACAAGGTTGTAAGCCTCTCAAAACTTGCCCAAAAAACTCATGACCCCATGCTGATGAAGGAAGTGATAAGCCACTACTTGCCTTCTCTGGCTTTTCAATCTCATTGTGACAATATTCCATCGCTTTTCGCAATATTAATGAAAGCAAACGATGTAAAGGAATGTGAAATGATATTTCCTGTGAACTAACATCATAAACTATGTCAGGCCAATCGGCAATATTTAACATACCAAATGCTTCTGATTCAGCACCAGAATCTACCTCCACGATACTATCATCTGATATCCTACTTGAAGTTGTATGTTCAAGGCATCCGTCGGTGTCCATTAAATCAGAGACCTCATGGTGCTCACCAGAAGGAAGTGACTGATGCTTATCTACTCCCTGCCTAGACACAGACAACCCAAAAATTTTGCTACTATTCGCACCCTTTTTTGACTTGAATAATTTCTTTCTAAAACAACTAAGACTACTGTAGTTCATATCATCAACAAAGAGTGATATGTTCCTTGCATGGCAGAACCAGTCATCAATTGCTTTAAGGCACTCGAAAATCAACCAAATAGCAGGTGATGGAACAGATAGGTGGTCAACACCACCGTACTTCACATCACTATGTTGGGATGAGCCATCCAATCCACTGCTTGTTCTATTTATACTGCAAGCAGAGCTGTCTTGTGAAATTCTGCCTACTTTTGAATGACGATAACCTTCGTTATCATCTAACCATTCAGAATCTGGGCAAGAAAAAGAAGTGATCTTCCTTTCTTTGGTTTCGAAAGCAGAAAATGCTCCTTGCACCAAAAGATTATGAACTTTGCTTAGGAAATGTCCCAGCACGAAAGGTGCAGAAAGATACTCATGTTCTTCTTCAATAGGGGTAGTTGTTACTCTCTTTTGGGGATCCATGCCTTGCACAAGAGATAAAAGCTTCAGCCAAGCTCTTGAAATATCAGGTCTCTCATGAGTTATGTATGCAAGAACCTCTTTGTGACTCAGGACAAATCGTGTGTCTTCCACCAAACGAATTATTGTCTCATAGAGATGTTCCCACTTCCTTACCTGCAAAAGTGCTGAGATCTTACTCTGATGTACCATGTAATCATGAAACCACTTAAAAGTCAAAAGAACAAAGGACATAAATAAGACCAAATAAATAAGACCAAAGGACTTCCCTAACAGCAAATGCACTCAAAAATAGGATGCTGAAACTTCACAAGGGACTGCTTCAGAAAGAAACAAGAGAAAGATTGCTAATTGAAGTAGTAGCACGGGTGCTGTGGTTGAACACATCAGTTCTTACCTGTAATTGACCGTCTTCCTGAATGCAAAAAAGGAACAGGTCCTTCAAGCATCCCAAAAGTACACCCAGCAGGTTCACCTCTCGTACAAGTCGTGGTGTCAACGTAGGCACAGTGAACAATTGCACAGAGAATGTTGATAGTAGCGAATACTTCTCAAATGCTTTAACAGTCCACTCTTTGATAATTTCACTTACAGAAACAGGATAATATCTCGTAAAAGCTTTAGCAAACTCATATTTAAAAACAGGCTCCCCAAGCAATTTTAGAAGTAATTCATGTAGCTTCTTCACAACGTTCTTGTGCAAGAACCTCTCTGCCCTCACAAGAACATCGAGCAAATCGGTACACTCAAACATTTTCTTTGATATGAAACTAAGAAGGCTTTCGCTACATTTGCAGAAGTCCAGCAACATCTCAATAACTGCAGAAGATAACCTATTCCCCATCCCTGCAGACACATCAGTTTTGTTATGTTCCCTTGGATTCCTCTGGTTTTCAGCGAGTATTAATTTGTCCTTCCAGAGTACGAGAAGAACATCTAGAACAGGCCTGATGGAATTTGCCAACTCTTCTGGTAAAGGTTGCATCTGCTCAGTTCCTTTGTGCTTGGAACAGAATCCTTCACGTTTCCAGGCTGTCACATCTCCGCAGTCACAGCATCCGCCACCTGTATACATAATTGAGTAATCATGATCCTTGTGATTGCCATTCTGGAAACATGGAACGCATATAGCACAGGTTGGATCATGCTCGCATGTGCGGCAGCGATAGGCCAAGTCATTCTGACCCCAAACGGCTCCACACACAGCACGCTGACCAACAGCTTCTGATGCCAAATTCTCAAGAGATGATTGTGGTTCAGCTTCGAACATCAACCACCCTAGCCACGACATACTCTCACAAAACAGATCCTCAGTGTTGCCACTGCTGGACGCATCTGATGAGATTCGCAGCTCCGACAAATCATCTTCGGTTGGTAAGATGGAAGAGACCAACACGGGATACATAGGTTTGTTTTCCTTGAGATATGATATAAGCCCCATTTGAGACTGCTCTAACACCTCGGAGGGAACACCATTGGTGATAAGTCTCTGAAAAAAGATACAAATGAATAGGGTATAAACATATAAGCCACAATGTGTGGAGATTCTTCGTCCACTTCAAAATGTATGTACCAAAGGACCAGGATTGTTAATCATGGACTAAGAACAGAAGAAAAGTAACAATAATATGGTATTTCTCTTCTACACATCCACGCATGTCTCGTTTTTAGTTCTTGCTGTCCGATCAGAAATCAAACAAAGATAAATCACCACAACGTTCAAGAAATGAACGAGGGTTGATGAAATCATACCTGGACGATGCGATCTCTCGGAGACAACACGGTGTCCCGCGGCGAATCGAGCTCCATGCCGGCCATGACGCGAAGCCAATCGGCGCAACTCCAGGGGCTCGATCGGGAGCTTCCCCGCCCCAGGGTTGCGGAGGTGAGACGACGCCGACAAATGAAGACGAAAGAAAGAAGAGAGGAAGGAGAGATCGAGAGTCCACGACGATCTCACGAGAAACCCTAATCCTTCCGCTCTTCGCCCCCCTTCGCTTCTCCCTTCCCTTCTGATGGGGTTATCGGTGGCGTCGAGAATCCAAACAAACGACCTCTCTCGGGTAGCGGTGTTTTTGCTTTTGTACTGGTTTATTTTTGTTGAATCGTTTTTAGGGAGAGGCGGTGTGGGGCGGGGGTAAAAGTCGGCAGAGTACGGTTTGTGCTGCTGTCTCGAACCGTCTCTTCCGAGCCGTGATAAGACTTCACCACCCTCTTCTCTAATAAACACACAATCTAACCCATCCCCCGCATGGAGGTCCACAACCACCACCGCCAGGTTTGCGGTGGGTCCCGTTATGAACGATATAGATGATATAGATGCAGATGCAAATGTAGATTTAATAAATTTAATAATTAAAAATAATAATTTTGAGAAGTTATACTTGGAATATCTATCGTCTTAGTTAGTCGTGTGTAGATTTAATAAATTTAATAATTAAAAATAATAATTTTGAGAAGTTATATTTAGAATATCGTCGTTAGTTAATCGTGTGTAGATTTAATAAATTCAATAATTAAAAATAATAATTTCGAGAAATTATACTTAGAATATCGTCGTTAGTTAGTCGTGTGTAGATTTAATAAGTTTAATAATTAAAAATAATAATTTTGAGAAGTTATACTTAGAATATCATTGTTTTAAAAAATTTCCGTAGTGTGTTTTTTTTTAAATGATTATTTAAAAATAATAATTTTGAGAATTTTTTATAAAATATCCTCATTTCCAAATATTTTCATCTAACACACTTTCTTTCATAAAAAGATAAGTTTTTTATACTTTTATCGCACTTGTCACCTTCGCCCATGACCATCTCCACATGTAAATCTCTCGTCATCTTCATGTGTAGCCCTCATCCCTTCTACCCCTTACTAGCCACTCTCATTCCTCTCATCATTCACCTCCACTTATACCTTATGCCTCGTCGGCTATCGTTGCCATTGTCTCTCCTCCTATATTCGATAACATGCTCTAATTTCATCTTGACATGATGGTAATATTTGTGAATAAGATATCGAGACTTTGTTTATCGATCATCATGTCCATAATAACTGAAGAGGGTAGATGAAAATCATTGAGAGCTGCTAAGAGCAGAGTAGGAGAAGGGGAGGAGGCAATAAGCATCAGAAAAGACAAACGACGAGCGAAAGAGGAGACAATGATATTGAGGTAGAGGCAATATTAATACGACAGAAGCAATAGTAAAATCATCTTTTAAAAAATAAGTGACGTTGTACTAAATTTTTTGAAAATGAGAATACTCCGTGAAAATTTCTTAAAATTAGAAACTCCTATTCTAAGAATTTACCAAGAAATATTATTTTACCTAAAAGACCGATGATAACATAGATAGGAAATCATTATGTTGTATAAGTTAAAGATAATTTAGATATATTTAAAAAATAGTCCAGGGGAAAATCCAAAAGAGAGAGAACAAATTGTAAAATCAACCTGAAAAATATAAATATAATTTGACTTTTTGATAAATGACTGAAATTCTCTCCATTTGTCACACAAGCTTAAATATAAAAAACGAAAGAATATTTATTATATTGGTATAATAATCATCCGATTCACTAAAAAAGAGTATTTAGTTGTGTCCTTGACTCTAATCCTTATTAAGCCTTTGTCAGTCACATTCATGATATAGTCTTGTAGAATTATTCTTTGAATCATTAGTTATCCAACACTTACACTTATGTCAAACTTTTGAGTTTGACATAGGTTCGATCTAAAGATCTAACATGTTAAATAATTAAAATTTAATTTATTAATAGTATAAGAAATAAATTTTTTATTTAAATCACTTGAACAATCGAGAAATAAAAATAATATAATGAGATTAATGCAAAATAACCGAATAAAAAGGATAACAACAACAAACATGATCTAAGGAGAGAGAGAGAGAGAGAGAGAGAGAGAGGAAGAAGAAGAAGGGTGGTGTTAGATATAAAGAATCAAGGTATAGACTTCCACCTCACATTTCAATGAAGAGCACTTTAAATCTTGATGCCCTGTATGGGCCAGTGTAACACTAAGAATGTTGTACTCTATATGAGCCTTTGTAACACTGAAAATGTTGTGCAATCTAACATCTCGATATCTAATAAGAAATATATTAATAGTCAATAATCATTCAACACATAAGTTACATATAAAAACTATCCTGGATCTAGGTCATCCTCCACTCATTTATCCGTATGGATAAAAATTCAAGATAAATCATTAGGGACTATCTTTCTCTCGTCGCCCACATAGATGAAACGTCAAGAGAGGGACATTGGGACAGTTACAAATTGTCCCTACAAAAGTCATGCATAAAAAGTAATCCCCAATATTATGCTAGGGTGTTTTTTTTTAAAGAAAAACTCATACTCACTAAGAGACATGATACAGATTATCGCCCTACTTTTGTCTTAGATACCTTAACAAGCAATGCCACCATCTCAATCGGAATTAATACCTCAACTAGCATCGGCTCCCTTTCGAGATTCCCTTGCTCAATGTGGTGCCAGCATCTTAAGATCGCTTAAGGCCCGTGGAACTATCGGCCGAGGGAGTGGCCTACTGCATAACAGTAAAATTCAATGCATTGCCACACTACTACTTTGCTCTGCCCGAATCCATGACTCAATAAGCGGATTCAATAAATGACTCTATGAGGATCCAACTATAAATAATTATCCAATGCTTAGAAGAGATACAATGAGAGTCCAACAATCGAAAGGAGAAATTCTGGTTGATCTCACCTTGGGTCACCTATTTACTCATAACATCTAGGAGGAGTCAATCCCAATGAACTTTTATCTCTCATCACTGAAGGCCTTTAATGGCAATACTAATAAGAAAGAGTATACTACACCTTCCGCATTTAGATGTTATTGTACGACATCACAGACACCTTAATGTGTCATGCATTCCCGACAACGCTAAGAGTCCCAACATGAAAATGGTACACTCGCTTAAAGCCACTCTGGGTCGGCTTCTTTGCTTAGGTCGCAAAGGAGTTTGAGCTTTGCATTATTAAGAATGTGCGCTCAAGGCCATCAACGATAATGCTTCTTGGACTCATGCAAGGGGAGGAAGAAACACTCTATACTTTCGTCACTCAATTTACTAATGAGATCTGAGACATGCAAGAAGCTCATTTGTTGCTTGTAATGCATGCCTTCATGATGAGACTCAATCCCTCTCACTTTTTTTGGTCATTGGTGGAGAGGCCATCGACAATGATACCCGAGTTGCTCTAGAGAGCTAATAAATATATTATCGTTGAGGCAATTATCTCGAATAAGTATAAGGAGACACAAAAGGTTGAGACAAGAGAGACTACCATTAGCCTTGACCTCGAGGTCACCACAATGAAGAAGAAATGACCAATCCGAGTTGTCTCACCCGAGGTCCAAATTAACTCCCATGAATATGACTAGAATCAAAGTCTTTTTATATATAAAGAAACTGGGGCTCTTGAAACACCCTCAATCGATGAAAATACCATTGGAAAAGAGAGACAAATTCAAGTACCGTTGCTTCCATCGTGAATATGGCCATGACACGGAGGACTATTGTGATTTGAAAAAATAAATTGAAGAACTCATTCATTAGGGATAGCTTGAGAGGTTCATCCAAATACATTAGGAATCTATGCCCTAACCACAAGGGCTAGTGAAGAGGCAAATTGATGTCATTATTAGTGGACCTATCTTAGAAGGAGATAGTTCCTCGGGTTGCAAAACCTATACTCGAGCTACTATCGAAAAGCACTTGAAGTCAAAAGACAACTCGAAAATAACTATTAAGAAAAAAGAGATGGAGTGACTCGACCCAAACAACAATGATGCCTTAGTGGTCTTTGTGAGGATAATTAATGGCCGAGTGAAGAATGTCATAATTGACATAGGTAGCTATATAGATATCCTATACTTTAATGCTTTTTAAAAACTTGGACTCTCGACTAACGATCTCACCCATACGACTTCTTTGTTACTGAGATTCACCAGTGACTCTGTCTTCTCTCTTGGAACCATGAGCCTGTATGTCATGTTTAGACACGGATAGTGAGAGGATCTAAAATCTGACATGACAAAGGGAGGACTTGAAGCTTACCATATCGAGGGAGGACTCGAAATCCACCATGGTTGAGGAAGGACTTGAAGCCCGCCATGGCGGGGGAGGACTCAAAGTCCGCTACAATTAAGGAAGAACTCAAATCCTGCCACAGTGGATGAAAGATTTAAAATCCACCATAGAGGATGAAAGAAAAATCCACTATGACAAAGGCAAAGAGTGAAATGTGCTCAAGATATATGAGTTAGAAAAACCTAACCCACGTCAAGAGAAATATGATATGATGGAAGCATATGACAAAATATGCCTAAGACGTGTGAGTCGAAAAAACGTAACTTGTGTCAAAAGAAATCTGCTATAGTAAAAGCATAGGGTAAAATATGCCCGAGACGTGTGAGTTAAGAAAATTCGACCTATGCTAAGAGAAATTCGTTACAGCGAAAGTATATGACAAAATATTCTTAAGGCGTATGAGTCAAAAAACCTAACCCACGCCAAAAGAAATCCACTATAACTAAAGCACAAGGCGAAATATGCTCGAGGTATGTGAGTCAGGAAAACTTGACCTATACTAAGAGAAACTTGCTATGGTGAAAGTACAAGGCGAAATGTGCCTAAGGTAAGTGAGTCAAGAAAGCCCAACCTACACCAAGAGAAATCCGTTATGGCAGAAGCATAAAACAAAATATGCCCAAGGTATATGAGTTGGGAAAACTTGACCCACACCAAGAGAAATCCGCTATGGCGAAAGCATTGGATGAAATATGGTTGAGGTGTATGAGTCGAAAAAACCCGACCTACACTAAGAGAAACCCACTATGGCGAAAGCATATTACAAAATGTGTATGAGGCGTATGAGTAAGAAAAATCTGACCTATGCTAAGAGATATTCACTACAGCATAGCGTAGGGTGAAATGTGCCCGAGGTATGTGCGTTAGGAAAACCTAACCCATGCCAAGAGAAATCCATTATAATGGAGGCATAAGGCAAAATGTGCCCAAGGTGTGTGAGTTAGGAAAACCCGACCCTGTCTGACTAATGTATTGTCATGAACTTAGTCAGTTTTGC